CCGTATAACAAGATCATGCAGTTAAAATCAATAATTCAAACTTCTCCCGCGTCTATAACTTTAAAAATACTAGTTTTCAATAATAGAGCTCCACTACCTAAATATCCTACTGCTGTTCTAATCTCCTGTGTCTCTTGCTAAAGCTAGAGTCCGAATTAAATTCTAAAACGATTGTCCTGATTCTTTCATGCCAGCTAAAATGTGTGTTATGAACGAATGACCCTACTAAATGTGTAAATAATGTCTTAATATGTCTCTGTGCGATTGTTGCCTGTCGGTAATATTTACCTTCTGTGTGTCTATTAGGCCACCACCGTCTCAAAATGTCCGTTACTGGTCTTTCGTTACCTCATGGCGTCTTTCAATTCCTTGTTGGCTCAAAGTGTCCAAATGTTCTTGTCTCATGTCTTTTTTCTTCTTCTTCAACACTCACTTTCTTTCTTCTTTCCGATAACTCTTTCTCACAATGTCCTTTCTTCTTCTTTCAACAATCAACATTCCTTTCTCTTCCGATAACTTTTTCCTCATAATGTCCTTGTCTTTCTTCTTCTTCATATCTGACCGCACCCTAATGTGTCGTGTCCTTCTCTTCATGTTTGGTTTACCGGCAGTTGCGCCTAATTCTTCGCATTACGGCCACCATTCAGTTTCGTTGGATGGACAACACTCAGTTTGGTGAAAAGGTCCTTGCGGTCTTTTTCTTCTTTGCCACTCAACGCGCAGGAGTAGTCTTCTTCGAGAGTTCCTGTTAGACCTGCTGCAGCCGAAGCTGCAGTCTTTGCTCCCCCTGTGGGTCTGGGGGAGACGCTGATGGTGGTTTGTGGCAGAAGACGATTTTTTGGCCATATAAACAGACAGACGCAAGTTTTCCCTTGGAAAAAACAGACAAACAAGAAACACAAACAAGTGTGTTTAATTACCATAAACCAAAACCAATGATTACTTACAATTCAAAATAAACCTATGGAAATAATTAATATTAACATTTTAAACATTAGATCTGAAAACCGAATTCTGCATCAACTGGCTATCCTAAGCCCTACTTTTTCCAAAAGTATAATGCTCTCTAAGATCTGTCTAACTGTTATATCACCAAAAGTAGGGAAAAAAACTTGTCTAGACCCATGGAGATAAATAAATAAAAAATAAAATAAAGCTCTTGATGAATCTAACTCAAAGTTCTGTGATCCTGATGACCCTGTCAGTAACATTAATCGTGTGTATAAATGTAATTTTCTACAAATCAAAAATGTCTTTTGGTAATAGTTCTGTCCCTTCACGAGAGAGAGAGAGAGAGAGAGAGAGAGAAGGAGATAGAGAGAGAGAGAGAGAGAGAGAGAGCGAGAGAGAAGAGAGAGAGAGAAGAGAGGAGAGAAGAGAGAGAGAGGTCAGAACGAGGGAGGGAGGGGCCTCCCAACAGAAGGAAGCATGAGTCTGAAATACTTTCCCTCGTTTTTTCTCGTGGGACAAGGTTTTAAATCAGTGGTAAAAGTTTCTCTCTCGTCAAACGACGACTTTAGAATTTTAGTACCTTAAATACTCATTAATGAAAACATTACCTTTGCTACATATAATGTATCGAGAGTTCCCAGCAAATCTTTTTTTTTTCCCTGATCATCGCTTGTAACTATCGTAAACATTACATCAAATACAAGAGAAAAACCCAGACTGATCTTGTTGGTCATTTTCTTCACATGACACTCGTATACTACAGCCAAGGTGTCTCTCTTTTTTCCTCATACATCAATCAACAAGTGGGACACAATCGTGAAGTGGAACGAAATTTATTGGATAATTTAAACTTTTTTAACAAATAAAAAACTGAAAAGTGGGGCGTGCAATATTATTCGGCCCCCTTGCGCTAATACTTTGTAGCACCACCTTTTGCTGCAATTACAGCTGCAAGTCGCTTGGGGTATGTCTCTATCAGTTTTGCACATCGAGAGACTGGAATTCTTTCCCATTCTTCCTTGCAAAACAGCTCGAGCTCAGTGAGGTTGGATGGAGAGCGTTTGTGAACAGCAGTCTTCAGCTCTTTCCACAGATTCTCGATTGGATTCAGGTCTGGACTTTGACTTGGCCATTCTAACACCTGGATACGTCTATTTGTGAACCATTCCATTGTAGATTTGGCTTTATGTTTTGCATCATTGTCCTGTTGGAAGATAAATCTCCGTCCTAGTCTCAGGTCTTTTGCAGACTCCAACAGGTTTTCTTCCAGAATGGTCCTGTATTTGGCTCCATTCATCTTCCCATCAATTTTAGCCATCTTCCCTGTCCCGGCTGAAGAAAAGCAGGCCTAAACCATGATGCTGCCACCACCATGTTTGACAGTGGGGATGGTGTGTTCAGGGTGATGAGCTGTGTTGCTTTTACACCAAACATATCGTTTTGCATTGTGGCCAAAAAGTTCGATTTTGGTTTCATCTGACCAGAGCACCTTCTTCCACATGTTTGGTGTGTCTCCCAGGTGGCTTGTGGCAAACTTTAAACAAGACTTTTTATGGATATCTTTGAGAAATGGCTTTCTTCTTGCTCTTCCATAAAGGCCAGGTTTGTGCAGTGCACGACTGATTGTTGTCCTATGGACAGACTCTCCCACCTCAGCTGTAGTTATCTGCAGTTCATCCAGAGTGATCATGGGCCTCTTGGCTGCATCTCTGATCAGTCTTCTCCTTGTTTGAGATGAAAGTTTGGAGGGACGGCCGGGTCTTGGTAGATTTGCAGTGGTCTGATACTCCTTCCATTTCAATATAATTGCTTGTACAGTGGTCCTTGAGATGTTTAAAGCCTGGGAAATCTTTTTGTATCCAAATCCGGCTTTAAACTTCTTCACAACAGTATCTCGGACCTACCTGGTGTGTTCCTTTGTCTTCATGGTTCTCTCTGCGCTTTAAACAGAACCCTGAGACTATCAAAGAGCAGGTGCATTTATACGGAGACTTGATTACACACAGGTGCATTCTATTTATCATCATCAGTCATTTAGGACAACATTGGATCATTCAAAGATCCTCACTGAACTTCTGGAGTGAGTTTGCTGCACTGAAAGTAAAGGGGCCGAATAATATTGCACGCCCCACTTTTCAGTTTTGTATTTGTTAAAAAAGTTTAAATTATCCAATAAAGTTTGTTCAACTTCACGATTGTGTCCGACTTGTTGTTGATTCATAACAAAAAATTTAAATTTTATATCTTGATGTTTGAAGCCTGAAATGTGGCGAAATGTTGAAAGGTTCAAGGGGGCCGAACCCCAAGGCAAGGCAGGCACTGTATATATATATATATATTAGAACAAGTTCACAGTATTATTTTGAGAATGAAACGCAATCATGTAATGCACATTTCATATTTTACAAATCAGTAAACTATTTTGAATCTTTGAAAGTCCTGACCAGAGGCGTCCCATGCCATCAGGCAAGGCAGCTGCCTGGGGCCCCGAAACCGGCATGTGGCCCCAAGGGCCGACTAATTTGACACAAGCGGTCAAATTGTACAGGCTACAACAGCTACCTGCAGTGACGAGTTGGCGGATCAAAACTTCTTGTCTGATGCAAAGCTTGCCACATTCTTCTTTAAAAGTCAAAAACCCTGCCTGGAGTTAAGGAAGTGTATGTTGTAGTGGTTTTGTGGTTATCTTGCAGCGCGTATGCCGTGATCAACTGGGTTCAAATCGGAGTGAGGCCTATGGTTTGGATTAAACTATATATATTTATTCTATGACAGATTGCTCAAGAACGGTAAAAGGTAAAAACAAGCCGGTTTTTTGCAGATTAAAACTAAGGAACTAATCTTTTATTTGGCCCTCTGTGTTTATACAGGCTATAAACACCGAGGGCCGAATGAAATATTAGATTTTTTAGGATTACAAAATTTGTTTATATGGTCGGTATCGGGGCCCCCAAGGGCTCTGCTGCCTGGGGCCCCGGGGTACCCTTGGAACGCCACTGGTCCTGACCATGTAAATATAGACAAAATGGTTTGAGTAGAGATCTGTCGTGTCAATATTTTTGGGTTTATTTTGTATTTTATTTATTTCAGGCAAAGAGAGAAGAGAAGCAAGAGAAGCACAGTTGTTAAATAATATAAAAACATACCTGTAACAAAATTAAAATTTAACGCCACCATTTTGTCCTCAGCTTATTGGTCCATGTTGGTATTGACCTTGAAACCTGAACTTACCCTGGTCCAGAACAGAATCTGTCACTGCTGTTACTTACACTGAATTGAATCTAAATCTTTTACCTGTTCAGTACTACTGCATTATTACATATCTGATAATTCTGCCTTTCACTAGTCACTTTACCTGTTGATATTTGACTGTATTATTACATATCCATCTGATAATTCTCCCATTCAAGTCACTTTACGTGTTGATATTATTTCTGATGTTTATTCTGCTCATTTTCATATTCTCATATTCTCCGCTGCTATTGTATAATATAGACATCTGTAAATACTTCTGAACCAAGTGCAATTATAGCCCAGAGTTTATTTCATTTTATTGTATTCTTAATTGTATTGTCTATTTATTATCTTAAATAATAGACTTATTTGATGTGTGCAATCTGAGTGCTCTTATTTCCTTTCTCTGCTGTAATGTGAAATTTCTCCACTGTGAGACTAATAAAGGTTTATCTTATCTTCAACTCTTCAGAAAAAGAAAACTCAAAAGTTCTCTCAATTCTAAGTTACACCCAATCTGAACTTACACCAAACTGGCTTTTAGAAACAGCGCTCACATCATTAAGACTAATCTAGAACACACCAGTTCTGCTTTTTTACAAGAGGAACTAAAAAAACCTGGCCAATATCAGGAAGCTATCTAATGTAACACCATGTTCACTATTCAGCTGTTGCGTCTCGTTCCTGCTAGGGATTTTTTTAACTGAATCAAACATTGTGAACCCTGGATATTCCCATAACGGTTTGGTGTAGGTCACACTGTCTCTGTATTTTACCCAGTTTTCGATAGAATTTGTGCAGTAATTCGTTGTGCCATGGACCAGTGGAAGGCGCCTCTTGGTTTGTTAGGCGAGGACGTGCTGAGGCGGCTGTCGAAGATGTTGGACAACTCCTCCTGTGGATGGAGACAGTTGGCCCGAGTGATGGCAGAAGACCCCAGATTTCACAGCAGGTAAACACAACATTACATCTGTATCCTTGTGCTTTCTTGTCCTTTGAAACCATTTTTTAAAAGACCACTTAAAATTAAGTGATTTATCTTACCTGTCCGCACTAACTGTCTGTATCTTGCTGGAAAACATGATATTCTCTGTATTTAGCTATGCATACAACTGAGGGATTTACTCTTCACCCTTTACTTGTACTTTACTCACCCTGTACTTTGACTGTTTATGCTTTTAATGCATTGTGTGATTGTTTCTATCTTGTTTTGTTTAGTACTTAGAGTGTCTTTGTGTCTTGCCTTGTGTTGCCATTCTTGTACACTCAGCGTGGAGTTTGCATATTTCTTCCAGTATCTGGGTGGCACATATTTTTATCATAATAAGTTTGTTTGCATATTAAATAACCTTGATATATTGTGATTATAATGGGAAAATACTAGTATAGACTTACAGTATTTTATCTCCTGACACATGTGTTCCCTTCTTACACAAATGCACCTTATGGTTTCTTTTTCAGTGAGAGTGAGATGACCCATTACTCCCTCCAGGTATTGAGGAACATCGGAAGCCCAAGTCGAACTCTTCTGGCTCGACTTGCGGACCAGTCCTGTACCGTGGAGCTCCTCCTCTGGGGACTGAAGACAATGGACCATCACAATGCAGTAGAATATCTTACACAAACATGTAACATTGGGGGAGGGGGGAAGCATTATTTTATCATGGTAAATCACACATGAGTCACTAATTAATATTTTGGTTAGTATCCAGACAGATTCAAATTATTACACAGCCACAATCACAGCAAGTTCAAGCAGGGGCCAAAGTGACATTGTTCTGCAGAGCCTCTGGTCCCCCTGGTCTCTGTTATCAGTGGTTTAAAGGGAAAGAAGAGGTTGCTATTTTAATTTACTTGTTCACCACATGATTTGAACTGCTTTAATCACTACAATAATTCTGGTTTTAGATTTTGAATGGTGTGTTTCCAAAGCTAGTCCTGTTCCCTTTCCATTCTGCAAACCAGGGACACTATATCTGTAGAGTCAGCCTGGGGGGTAGCTGTGTCTTCTCTCTCTGGGCTCATGTGCGTTTGGAAGCCTTCAGTGCAGGTAATTACAAACTTTGACTTTCTCCAGACAAATATTACATCCATTGATTCTGGATTTATGTACTCCACTTCAATTGTACCAGGGTGTCCCAGTAGTTTTTTCTTTGGCTCAGTGAGTGGGCTGAGAATCTCCACACAGCCTCAGTCCCAGGCCTTGACAGAGGGAGAAACTTTACTGCTTGAATGCCGAGCTGTGTCCAATCCTCCGGCCCAGTACGAGTGGTACCATAACTCTGAGCCATTGAAACTACACCAGACACACTCACTCAAGGTTAGATTTGTATCTAAACATACAAATTGTGATTTTGCAAAGTAATACATTATTCTGCCTGAAATATATATACTGTATACTTTATGTACGTGCTGCAGATTCCATGTGTGACCACTGCTCAGAGAGGAAAATATACATGTAAGGCATTTAACTTGTACCATAAAGTTTGGAGTGAAGAGGCAGTTGTGACCATCGGTGAGTCCCTAATAAGAAGTTGTACTAGCTAGGGTGTATATACAGTATATATATAATGTCTTCATCTCATTATTTTGCAAACTTTCACTTCTGTCTGAAAAAGCTGACCTACAGACCTGAGAGGCCAAAAATAACTGTTCAATTATGTGAATCAAACTGCTTTTTTAGAAGAACGAAGTAAAGTTAGATACTCCAGCTTTAAACTGTTCACTACTACAATACAGAAAAAACTTCTGTGCTATTGTTTTTGAAGGTCCTATTTCCACTGATGCATCATGGGTTGAAACTGATGCACGAAGTCCTCCTTCTGTTGTTGAGACACAGGAACCAGGTAATCTTAGTTCCTCTCCTGCCCCTGCCAATAATTGCAATGTGTACTTTATATTAATGCTTACAGAAGATCAAACAGAATGGCATCTAATAATATTGTATGTAATGAAAACGCTTTCTGACTCCTAGATGACAGGCAAAGGGAGTCGGAAAAGTTTGCAGTTCAAAAAACTGAGACTCCACATCCACCTGTCGAACAGTTTTATGGTATGAGTTTGGATGTCTCAATGCTGTGGTGTATTTTTTTTTAAATTGCTTTTATCTTCTTCACAAAAAGCCACAGACAAAGTTGCTCTGTTGATTGGCAACATGAACTATGCACATCACAGACAGTTGTGTGCTCCCATCGCTGACGTGCACGAGCTGGCCAACCTCCTCCGTCAGATGGACTTCAAAGTGGTGTCGTTGCTGGACCTGAACTGGCACGAGATGCACAGCGCAGTCACAGGGTTCCTTCTACTGCTGGACAAAGGAGTCTATGGTTAGTCCTCTTTCAGAGGGTCCCAAAGTTGGGGTTGAGGGACAATAGCTGGGGTTGTGAGATTACTTCCAGAATATGTTTTTTAAATCATTAAACAGGTAAAACACGGAAAGTAGACTTATTACATGCAAATAAATTGAATTGAGAGTGACATATGCCAGGCCGTTTTTCTTTCATCATTTGCTCTGGATGCCTCCTGGACGCCTCCCTGGGGACAGTGGGGAGCCCCGGGGAAGACCCAGGACAAGCTGGAGAAGCTCCCAGTTGGCCTAGGAACGCCTTGGATAGAGTAGTCTGGGGGCATCTCTGCCTAGATTCTCTGAAGTTGAAGAAAATGGATGTATGGATTTTAATGATTATGGCTTACAGTCCATTTTCAAAATATGTTTTTTTTATTTGGGTTTTTTAAAGCTTATTTTTACTTGGCCTATAATAAATTGGGAGGCATTAGCTCAGTTGGCAGTGTGTGCTTTTAGCTGAATGCTGGTGGTTTGAATCTTTATGTCCTGACATAAAATCTATCAGCCCAAGTCTGAAAAGTATGGAAACCTCTGCTCTTACTAACTTACTAACTTTAATAAAATGCTGTAATTGATGAGACGTTTCCAATATTTAGGCCTTCTGTACTTTGCTGGCCATGGATATGAGAACTATGGAAACAGTTTCATGGTTCCCATCGACGCCCCGGCTTCATGCACCTCAGAGCACTGTTTGTGTGTTCAGAATATCCTCACCAGGATGCAAGACAAGGAGACGGGACTCAATGTGTTTCTGCTGGATATGTGTCGTAAAAGGTATTCAAATCGTTTGTTTTGAATCATTCAAATCTATTCATTTACCTTCACCTTATATACAGAAATATACATGACGATGTCCTGGTACAAACTGGATTACTCAAAGTGACGGCAAACATTGTTTTTGGATATGCAACGTAAGTCCAGGTTATGTGAATACAGTGAAGTTCTTTAAAAGCCCATTCTCTTTTTTCTTGTCAAGGTGTATAGATGCTAGAGCATATGAAGTGAAAAATGAGGAAGTTTCTAATGGTATATTTATAAGATTCCTCAAACAAAGAGTTTGTGAAGATGAGAAGGTAACGGTCATGCTGGACAGAGTAGCTGAAGGTAAGTGACACGGCTACACGCCTACATAACGACTTCTGTCTTATTAACATTATTCACTTTCACGTTTGGTTGTGTAGATATGGGTCGATGTAGAATTACTCACGGTCGTCAGGCTCTAGAGCTCCGGAGTAACCTGTCTGAACGCCGTTGTCTCACAGATCACATACAGACAGAGCAGTGCTCCGAATCCTACTCCGCTCGCACCCTGCACTGGACTGTTGCTCATGGTGGTTTTTACAATGTCTATCAATAGTTCAGGCAATATAGCATTTTGAGATAAACAAATTGTCAATTTATGTTTTGGTTAAGGTGTCCAGAACAACATACTGAATCCTAAGAAGTCCTGGTTGGGCAAATAGGTTTGATTCCAATCATGATTCATGATCGGTGCCAATATGACCGGACAGCTGCACTTGAATAGGCTCAAATATTCCCAAACATTGTTAATCTTACTGTACACAATGAAAGAAACTCGCACAAAGCTTTTCATGTCTGCTTGCATTGTAATTGGACTTGGGGAAAATAATACAACATTTGTAATGTTTTGGACATATTTGATTCGAGTTGAGTTCATTTGCATATTCCAATACATTTTCAGAGAAAGTTGTACTACAATGAATGTTACTTTTCACAAATACTTTCTTTGTCATAGGAGTAAAGAAATGTAGTTATCTGGCCGTATTGGACACATCTTAAATTGATGAAAATCATCTTAAATTGATGACAATTAAATATTTGCCCAGTCAGGATATTTATTATGTTGTTCTTAAACACATATTGTATATGCATAAAATATACAGTATCTCACTGTCACAAATGTTTCACAGTGCTTCCTAAAAGCCAAACACTACACTTTGACTGTGGGGTCATAGTTCAACTGGGATTTGCAGCAGAATTCTCCAATGTCATGGTCATTTACACTCGGATCCAGAAAAAACCTGCAAATATTATTAACTGCTCTGCTCAACTTACAGATTTCCCTGTGGTTCGTTTGTTTGCAGAGATGCATTAAATCTTCACTATGTCAAGTATGTTTCCTCGCCGGCTACAAACGTTCTGTGCTTATGTGACAGGATGTGGAGATAGATCTGAAGAAAACCAACCAGGATACACCGCTTGAGGCTGGAAGTTTGTTATTGATCAAAGAAGAACTTCCCACAGAGGCCCACAGTCGGTACACACGTGTCTTTGGGCTGCAGAGACTCAAGGTTGTACCCAATGACTGGGATTAACTGGATGTTTTTAGAAATAGTATGTTTTATTGCATTGAAATGACACTGTCGTCTATATTTTCACAGAAGGAGCTTGTTTTCACAGTTTGTCTTCATTATACCTATTCAAACCTCGATGAAGAAATTCAAGAAAATCAGACCGTGACAGCTGGAAAACCTCTGGTCTCCAAACTCAATCTTTATTCTTTCAGTGGTCCAACTTCAGATGCAACAGCTTCAGGTGTGGTTTCTGTATGTGATGCTAATCAACCACAAGAGGCTACCTTTGATGAGTTGTTGGATACCCCTCAGCCCCTCATTTCAGAGTAGAAATTGATAAAGAAAAGAACTTTGATGTAAACCAATGTGCATTATACACACCGAGGTCCTCTGTGTTAAAACAAAACCTGTAATGTCCATGCTCCTGTATTTTGTGTGTGTTGCATTGTAAGTTCCTTCCTCTCCATTCTATGTCAATCTCTATATTTTGAGAAAAGCAACTAGTCCATCTCAAAGATGGTTAGAAGCGGTGATACTGCTCGGGTGGGGCCCTCCTCAATTTTGGAAGACCCGTGACAGTGTAGACATGGGGGTCGCTTCTGGAAGACGCTCAGCTCAGCGTTTATCTGTTTCACTGCAGCCTGTAAAATGCTGCTGTGTCCGCTTCATGAACTTCCCTCAGGAGTGCGTCTGCCGAGCCATACTCTACCAAGAGACGTTTAGCGGCTGCTTTGACGACTTTTTCCAATCTGTGCAGCTTTATATGGCGGTTTTCATTTCAAGTGAGCAAGATGTATCCCGAGTTTCAGTGTTGCAGAAATGCAACGTGTGGCTGACAGATACCAATGGATGCTATATGATTTATCAACTAGTTTGCCAATATTTTGTGAACAGGTTTAAACAAGAATTATTTTCCTATGCCCAGGTGTTTACATATTGTTTTGAGGAGTCATTGAGGTTAAATCATAGGAAAAATGAAAGAATTGGATGAATAAAATGGTCTTTACTTGTGCAGGTGTCTTTTGACTAATCTATGACTCTGAAGTATACTCTGACAAAGGGACTGAGCATGGACACTTTCCATTGGACAATTGGACTTATTTGACAATTGGGAATTGTAATAGCTGGTACAATAATCGTATCAAGGGCGGCACAGTGGCACAGTTGTGCTTCACAACAAGAAGGTCCTGGATTTGATACTGCCTGTGGAGAGTTTGCAAGTTCTGCCCGTGTATATGTATATGTATATGTATATGGGCGGCACGGTGGCTGAGTGGATAGCACTCTCGCCTCTCAGCAAGAAGGTCCTGGGTTCGAATCCCGGTTGAACCAGGGCCTTTCTGAGTGGAGTTTGCATGTTCTCCCCGTGTCTGCGTAGGTTTCCTCCGGGTGCTCCGGTTTCCCCTACCACTAAAAATATGTACAATAGGTCTGGCATGTGCCTCCTGTACTGGCACCCCCACTCCCAAAAATAACAATTGTAAACTGCTTTGAGACTCCGATGTGCAGTGAAAAGGCGGTATATAAATAAAGATTACTTACTTACTACTTACTTACTTACTATGTAGGTTTCCTCCGGGTGCTCCTGTTTCCCCTACCACTAAAGAGAAACATGTGCCATAAGTGAGGGTTGACTCAAACAGCACGGAAAGAGGACAGCTGTCTTGGAATATGCTCCAGAACCCCATCAAGTTCCCCCACTTCGACTTCAGAGGATCATTGCTGCAAAAGTGGATGGGAAAATGATCAAATGGATCTAGTCTAATGTCATTTAGATCAATTTGATAATTTCCCCATCCATGCTAATAAACATGGACGATGCAGAAAATGGCTGAGCGCAAACAGCCTGCCTAAAGTGCAAAGTATAGACTTTACAAAGGGACAAAAATTGTTTCATGAAGAACCACACAAAGTTTGAGGCTAAAGGATAAAAAAATAGATCTAATTTTTTTTTTTACTATTGTGATTTCAGTTTGAAAGGTTCTGCATATACAGTCTATGATCCATACCAAGTAACAACATAAGGACCCCCTTGAAAAAGAGATAGTTTATCTCAATGGGGCTATCCTTAAAGCAGCAGTAAGCGATTTTTGGGTGTTAATATACGTCTTAAATATTGATATATTCCAATAGCCATCACTTATATAGAGTGTTTGTACCTAAACACGGATCTCTCAGTCCTTCCAGTCTTCTCCCACATATTTAATAAAAAAACCTCACATCCTATGCGCTTATCCAATGACGAGAGAGCACGCCTTATAAGGGGTTTCTCCCGTGTGTGCACGCGCACTCTTCAAAACAAACATGGCGGAGAAGGAAAAGCCGCCTCCAGCGCTGCTGCAGACGAAATACAATGGATTTATTAAATACAGGCAAAACGCCAGAAACAGAGGAACGACAAAAAGTAGGAGCAACATGGTGACCAGCTGCATTCATGTTGGCGACCTCTAGCTCCGTGGATTCCTCTCTCCGACTGAACAGGTGAGCATGTTACTCAGTAGTGGCAGTAGTAGTTGTATTATTTATACATATTGTTGCCTGAGACTGTAATGCGGGCTTTCACCAAGTTAGCTAGTTAAAAATCCCCAGCTGTTGTAGAAATACGGCCGCATTTTGTGGCAATAACTGCGCATTACCTTGGCTTAGCTTTGAGAAACAACAACAGACAACACAACATCGAAGCCTTAGCCCAGCCTCAGCCATCCATAAACTCCGGTCAATTATTAGTTCCCCACATGTACAACATTAAATGACCATATCACCAGAGTTCCCCCGTGAAGTGGTGTTAGCATTAGCGTTCGCTGTTAGCATTAGCGTTCGCTGTTAGCATTAGCGTTCGCTGTTAGCATTAGCGTTAGCTGTTAGCATTAGCGTTAGCTGTTAGCATTCGCTGTTAGCATTAGCGTTAGCTGTTAGCATTAGCTGTCTGTAGTGAATATGATGTGGCTGCTACGAACACTTCTGATCTGTATGAATCGTTTGTTTTTGCCAATAAACGTGTGTGTGTGTGTGTGTGTGTGTGTGTGTGTGTGTGTGTGTGTGTGTGTGTGTGTGTGTGTGTGTGTGTGTGTGTGTGTGTGTGTGTGTGTGTGTGTGTGTGTGTGTGTGTGTGTGTGTGTGTGTGTGTGTGTGTGTGTGTGTGTGTGTGTGTGTGTGTGTGTGTGTGTGTGTGTGTGTGTGTGTGTACTAAGTTTTTCAACTTGCACTCTGTATATTAGTTTTATTGTTATAAAAACAATATCTCTTTACCTGAAATCTAACTTCCGTGACCACTACATACATTTTTATTATTATGTATTGAGAATAAGTAAGAGTCTTGCTGACTACTACCAAATAAATTATGAGCATGATATAATATAGACATTGTAATAATTTACATGTCTTCATTGCATTCTTTTCTCTGTATCTTTTCCAGTATGGCCTAAATCAATTGGAATGAGGTCTTCAATGTACAAGAGTTCAAAAGCCTCCATAATGCAAGTTAAATAACTATTAAAAAAAAAACAATGCCATAACAACTAGATACTTTTCTGCTGACCTCTTCTTTCTCTAGTATTGACTGGGAAGACAAACTTTGCTTCCAGAATTAGAAGATCGGCCATTGTCATCTCCTGAGGAAGACTTTACACCCCACATTTGTCATGTAGGTTGTTGTGAATGCATATATGTGACGCAGTGATTATGATAATGATGTTGTGATGTGTGTGTCGTTCATCCCTACAGTTGTGTTGCTGCCCTGAGGTCCAAAATGAATATCGATCATGTTCCAGGAGTCAGTGTTGACAAAACTGTCGCTGAGTTTCTTCAACAATCAAGAGGAGTGAGATAATCACTCGACTCCCAAAACAGCCGATGTAAGTGTCTTTCTCTCACAATGCACAGTCTCTCACAGTCCAAATAAACATGTTCAAGGATCCTGTGGATCAGGGGCCACTCCTGGTGATCAATACATACTACTGTTGTAGATCAGGGGCCACTCCTGGTGATCAATAAATACTGATGTTGTTGATGATGAATATATCAAAGTCATATTTGAGTAGATAAAACTGATGTCTCTTCTATTATGTTTCAAAGGAAAATCTCTGCCAGAGGAAGACTCCAGTTCCTTCAACCTGGGCCCCTGAAGCGTGGCTGTGTGTGCGTGTGGCTGTGTGTGCGTGTGGCTGTGTGTGCTTGTGGCTGTGTGTGCTTGTGGCTGTGTGTGCTTGTGACTGTGTGTGACTGTGACTGTGTGGCTGTGTGTGCTTGTGTGCTTGTGGCTGTGTGTGCGTGTGTGCTTGTGTGCTTGTGGCTGTGTGTGCTTGTGGCTGTGTGTGCTTGTGACTGTGTGTGACTGTGTGTGACTGTGCTTGTGGCTGTGTGTGCTTGTGGCTGTGTGTGCTTGTGGCTGTGTGTGCGTGGCTGCTTATGAATTATTTTGAGGAAATGTGTTCAAACAAGCTACAACATAAAGATGAACATTTTGTTAGATATCTCTGATAGTGTTCGCTGCAGCAGCGATGGATAAGGACCTGAATAATAACAGTGTTATTCATTTGAGCAAAAAGTGATAACACAAACGTTGCCTTACCATCACTTGTAATTATTTGTCTTAGTAGGGACATTGTGTATATTTTTCCGGCTATAACTTCAAATCTTCTTTTACATAATAAAGTTTCTTAGACTCGTTACAGACTGTATTTGTTTTCCTACTATAAAACAAAGCACATTGAAAGAGGTGAATGTATTTTTTTTTATTTTGAAATAGTACAACTACAAACAATATTTCAGAACTGCAGAGTGGACGTGCACCATGGGGGCCACTGAGGACGTGCACCATGGGGGCCACTGAGGACGTGCACCATGGGGGCCGCTGAGGACGTGCACCATGGGGGCCGCTGAGGAAAGCACGTTTTCAATGTCTGTTGGCACCTTTCACAGACGCATCAGGGAAAGGATCTGGTCATCAGCTTCTCTGGACAGAGGGCGTTCAGTGCTTCCTGAAAGAACCGTTATGACAAATGACTTTATATATTCTGTTACTTGTAGCTTTTCTTTCAAAGTGGTGAGTTTCCTTACAGTGTAATAGTGTAACGTAATTAGTTATGACAGTACTTTTGCGTTTCGGACAAGCTTTACTGGAATTGTTTTTCAGTCCCACATCTCACTGTACAGCTCTGATACACTTTGATTTTGTCTTCATTCTCTGAACAATAAGCACATAATACAGATGTTGATTACATCAATAAATGTATCTTTATTTTGTGACATTGAGAAGGCAGCTTCAATCAATCAATCAAAGTTTATTTGTAGAGCGCCTTTCATACACAGGGCAACACAAAGCGCTTCACAGTCCACATCACAAATCATCACATAAAACAAACACCAGAATCACAATTAAAACATTAAAATCACACAAAAGAAAACCATTAAAACTTTCAAAATTACACAAGAAATTTAAAAAAATAAATAAATGACAGCAGTGCATTAAAAATGGAGATAAAATCCTTCAGTTATATGCACAGGCAAACAGAACAGTCTTTAACCTGGATTTGAACATTGACAGAGTAGACGCCTCCCTCACATTTTCAGGGAGATTGTTCCAGATCTTAGCTGCATGGATCTGAAACGCAGCCTCCCCATGTTTGGTTCTCACTCTGGGCACCAGCAGGAGGCCAGTCCCTGTGCTCCTCAGAGTCCGGGCCGGTTCATATGACACCAACATGTCACTAATGTATTCTGGTGCAAGGCCATGGAGAGACTTGTACACAAGCAGAGCCGTTTTAAAATCTATTCTTTGAGCCACAGGAAGCCAGTGCAGAGACCTGAGGACCGGACTAATATGGTCATACTTCCTGGTTCCTGTCAGGACTCTAGCTGCTGCATTTTGGATGTACTGCAGCTGCTTACAGGTCTGTTTGGACAGACCTGTAAGCAGGCCATTGCAGTAGTCTAGCCTGCTGGAGACAAATGCATGGACAAGAATCTCCAAGTCTGCCCTGGACACTATATTTCTAACTTTGGCAATGTTCTTCAGATGGTAAAAAGCTGTTGATGTTATTGATTTTATGTGGCTATTGAAATTTAGGTCTGAGTCCAGTATTACCCCCAAATTTCTGACCTTGTCTGAAGGAAGTAGGGAGAGAGACTGAAGTTGACAAATGACGCCCTCTCTTTGTTTCTGGGGACCAAAGACAATGATTTCGGTTTTGTCTGCATTTAGCTGGAGGAAATTATTTTGCATCCAGTCACTGATCTGTTGGATACAGTGAAGGAGCAAATCCAGTGGTCCATGTTCTCCTGCAGTCAGTGAGACATAGATCTGAGTGTCGTCAGCGTAATTGTGGTAGGACACTTTGTTTCTTTGTATTAACTGACCTAACGGCAGCATGTAGAGATTAAATAGGAGAGGTCCCAGGATCGACCCCTGTGGTACACCACAGGTCAGGGCCACATCATCTGAGACGCAGTCTCCAATCTCCACAGAGTACTTCCTATCCTCCAGGTAAGACCTAAACCAGTCTAGGGCTGTGCCAGTGACACCAACCCAGTCCTCCAGTCTCTGCATGAGGATCTCATGGTCGACAGTGTGTCGAACGCGGCACTAAGATCTAACATGACCAAAACTGTGACTTTACCTGCATCAGTGTGAAGTCGAATGTCGTTTGTTACCTTCACTAGAGCGGTCTCAGTGCTGTGGTGGGGTCTAAACCCAGACTGGAACATATCAAAAGAATTATTCATTGTTAAAAATTCAGTAAGTTGTTGGGAGGCCACTTTTTCAAGAATTTTTCCAATAAATGGCAGATTCGATATGGGGCGATAATTTTGAAGTCCCGCAGGATCCAGACTGCTCTTTTTTAGGAGAGGTCTTATGACTGCTGTTTTTAGGGCCATAGGAAATGTTCCTGACGACAGAGACATGTTTACTATTTGTGTCAGTGAAGGTAACAAACTGCTCAGGACGGACTTCAGAAATTTAGAGGGCAATATATCCAGGCTACATGTGGAGGAGCTCAGACTCATGATTATCTTTTTGACAGTTTCAGTATCCACAGGTGCAAAGTGAGTTAGCTCAAAAAGCTTCTCTGGCTGTTGCATTGTTATACGTGCTGTGGAGGTGATAGTGTTTTTGATTCCTTGTACTTTGTCATCGAAAAACTGTGCGAACTCATTACACCTAGATTTAGAGGAAAATTCTAGGGGCAACTTTACAGGGGGGTTCGTTAATCTACCAACTGTTGAAAACATAACACGAAAATTGTTACTGCAACCTCCAATAATGTCAGAAAAATACATTTCTCTTGTTCTACGTAGAACCCGGTTAAATTCACCCAACTCATCTTTAAAGATTTCATAATCGCCCTGGAAATTGGACTTTCGCCACTTCCGTTCGGCCCTCCGGCACTCTTGCTTCTGTGCCCTAACCGAGTCTGCCTTAGTCCATGGGGCCTTTTTCTTACTGGTAACTATTTTAACCGTCACAGGAGCAATGGCGTCCAGAACAGTCAGAACACTGGTGGTGACAGAGTTATACAATTCATCAACAGTAGAGCATGGAGTTTTCTCAAAATTTAGCATTCCCATGAACAGTTCACTTGTGTTTTCATGTATGTATGCACCTACTTTCTTTGCATATCCACATGTCTGAACGCGATTTGTGAGGCTAGTTTGGCAAAGCGTCTTTGAACCCCTTTTTAGCAAGCATTGTGCAAAAGAAAAGCTCCGAATTAGTCCGTATTGTGACATTGTTTAATCACGGATCTGGTCCAGCATGCTACAGTTTGACATTCGTGATCTGAGTCTGACTTCCGCTTAGCTTTGCAGAGGAACATCCCCCTCCTGCGGCCTGGAGCATGTGCGTCGAATATTTACAGTCTATGGTCCTTCAGCATGGATATTTTATAATATCCAGCAGGGGGAAGCGGAGACTGCAGAGGATCCCAAATTAACAATCTATTCGTCTGAATTCATAAGCGACACCTACTTCCCAATACTGCTTTCTTCATTTTTATGACCTCGATTGAAAAACAATTTACTCAAAACATCTTAAATATGTTTAATTTCGCTTGACCAAACTTTAAGCTATATAAAGGGTCAAATTTAAAGCCCAACGAAAAACATGGAAGGAGTTTTTGTTGTTGTTGCATATTTTAGATGAAGGCGAAGTTTGTACGTCCGTGCCATGATTATTGTTATTATTTCGCGCGCTTCAGAGTTACCAGAACTTACCAGAAGTAGGTAAGTAAGTAATCTTTATTTATATAGCGCCTTTTTAAAGCCCAAACATTTTAAGAATACAACAAAATAAAAGATTGGCTGAATGTTAAGGGAGTATTAGGCAACACATTGAATTTATTTTTATATTTAAATATTACATGTTTTGTTATAAATATAAATACATTTTTCAATTGTTCTGGATGAGGAGAATAATGGAGAGTCGTCGTCCCAAAAACTGCTTCCCAAAAAGAATAGACGCCCAGAGTCGTCATCAAAAAGCGGACCTGGCAACCCGGAGGTAGTTTCTAGAAAGATGTCGGAGTACGCCACGGTCCAGAAGGGAGCTTTAAAACTGAAAGGTGTGGGCAGCGTTTCATCTGGGAAGAAGTAAGTCTTAAATTAAACCCAACAGGCTTCTACACCATCACATTTCACATCGACACTGTTTTAACACACTGTTTACACTGTTTGCTCCGAAGTTAGTACGGCTAGGTTAGCGTAGTGCTAGCCTTTAGCATTAACAACAACAACAAAATGTTATTGAAGGTACCGTTCTAGTTTAGGGTAACTAATTAGCAGCTAAGGCTAATGTAATTGTTAACATGTTTTTTCTTCTCAGCTCTTAAATATCGTCTCGTCAACATTGCATCTGTGGCCTGTTATGCCATAGCAATGATTGTATGTTGTAGTCATCGTATTTGTAAATTGTATTTTGCTACTACTAAGAATTATTGTTTTGGTTTCTTAAATATTATCTATTATATTATTATCTATTATATATAATATATTATTATTTTTACCAACGCGTCCAGTAACTTTTCCAACCTAACCATATTATACCATGTGGACTGAAAACAAGCTTGATCATTGAGCTACCATAACTCGTGATTAAAGACCAATTTAGGGCTGTAACAATTAATTGATTCATGGCAATTCCTATTTTTTCATTCATTATTAACTCTTTTAGGTATAGATGATTAGTACTACTACTTCTGCGTTCAATATAATTTAGCTATTGCTTTAACCTTCCACTAACCCCAACTACGCCCCCCATACCAAAATGCCACTGTCCCTTTTAGGCATTTGTATTCTATAATGTTTCACAGTGTTATCATTTTGTTTGGTTACAATGTTCTGAAGACAACAGTTTAAATTAATATATCTTATGAGTAGGGGTGGGACCCTAAAGGTACCTCACGATACACGATACAAAGCTTACGATAACCATAATATCACGATAACGATATTACGATAACGATTTTATCACGATATGACGATTGATATATTGGTCAGAAATATGCCAATTTATGGCATAAATAAAAGAAAAAATACTCTCTTTCATGATAAATGGAATGGAGATGCGTAATGTAGCCATATATTAAGTATTGATACCAATATAAAAAAAAAAAAAGAAAAGTAAAAAAATATATATATATATTTTTTTTGAAAATCTATATCGATACTAGGCAAATGCATATCGATAATCAAATCGCGGGAGAAAGTATCGCACCCCTATTTATGAGTCTACTGCAGCACAGTGTGATGCAAAAAAATGTGGGTTACAGTTTCATTTGACAATATTCCTCCTCAATCTTTATTAACAGGAAGAAAAGGAAGGACAAAGAAAGCAAGCAGCGTATGGAACAAGTGTTGACCAATCAAAATGATGAAGACGAGAACACTAAGAAAACATTCATGGACAACAGGACACCAGCTCAAATCGCTTTTGACAAGATGCAAGAGAAGAGAGTGAGTTTTAAGTGCTCTTCACGTGTGAATCATGTTTTTGAAGGATTTGACACAATCACTATTTAAATGACTCCAAGATTTGTCCAATAAAAAAAAAAAATATACATTGAATAGTGATATCAGCTTTTCAGGCTTACTGGCGAAAGTTGATTAAAAACGTTTTGGCTAAAGTTTTAAATAGGTTTGGGCTGAATTGCATGTTCTTTCAGTGCCTTGTTTATGAGTAAAGATTTTGGTTCAAAGTGCAAAGGTGAAAAGACAGTCTGATCTCATCATTTTCATGTTTGTTCCCCTTTTTATAGCAAATGGAGAGGATTCTGAACAAAGCATCAAAAACACACAAACACAGAGTTGAGGCAAGTATTTGAAACACATTTTGTTAATTGCATGCAAAATAATCAGATTTTGACATGTTTTTTTCACTTACAGGATTTTAATCGAAACCTTGATGCACTTACTGAACATTATGACATTCCCAAAGTCAGCTGGACAAAGTAATGGAAGAAATATTCAATATCTTTTTAATGTATTTAAGTGTCTTTTCTTTTTTACTGTTGACTTGCCAGTTTGTAGTGGTTCTCCATTTGTAATTATTGTTCCACAATAAAGAAACAAATACCAACTTCAAATGATCTTTTATTAAAGTGAGAAACTGCATTAAGAGATGATGTAAGACAGATATATGGCAGGATACACCTCGACGGATGAATCTTTGGAACTCAATTGTTACATCCAAGACGGAAAGAACCATACACCTTAAAAGCAATACATGTATCTTCAAATTTAGGGCATGGAAAAAAAAATTTTTTAGTGTTCCTCTTAAACCAAGGTGTTGATTAACAAGTCAGTTTTGGCTTGGATTCAGTGTCCAGAGCAACAGATCTGTTTTAATGCAGTTCATTTGGGTCCCAGCATGTCACTCGGAATCACCCACTGGTCAAACTGCTCTGCGGTCAGATATCCCAACTCCACAGCTACAGCCTTCAACGTGGACCCTTTCTTGTGCGCAGTCTTGGCAATAAGGGCTGCTTTATCGTATCCAATGTGAGGGTTTAGGGCTGTGACCAACATCAGGGACTCATTCATTAGCTTGTTGATTCTCTCAGTGTTGGCTTCAATGCCCACCACACAGTTGTTGGTGAACGAGACAGAGGCATCGCCCAATAGCCTTGCTGAGTTCAGGACGTTCTTGATTATCATGGGTTTGAAGACATTGAGTTCAAAATGTCCATTGCTGCCTCCTACAGTGACTGCCACATGATTGCCTATAACCTGAGCTGCCACCATGGTCATAGCTTCACACTGGGTTGGGTTAACTTTTCCAGGCATGATACTGCTGCCTGGTTCATTCTCTGGTAAAATGAGCTCACCCAAACCAGACCGTGGACCAGAACCAAGGAAGCGGATGTCGTTGGCGATCTTCATCATGCTGACTGCCACTGTGTTCAAAGCTCCACTCAACTCTACAAGAGCGTCATGAGCAGCCAGAGCCTCAAACTTGTTAGGAGCAGTGATGAATGGAAGGCCAGTAAGAGAAGCCACAGTGGAGGCTACTTTCTCAGCAAAACCTATGCGGGTGTTCAGTCCAGTTCCTACAGCGGTTCCTCCAGCTGCCAGCTCGTAGACTCTAGGCATGGCAGCTTTCACTCTCTCGATGCTGTATTTGACCTGATGCACATACGCTCCAAACTCCTGACCCAGTGACAAGGGGACAGCGTCTTGAGTGTGTGTGCGTCCAATCTTGATGATGTCTTTGAACTCTTCAGCTTTGGCAGCCAATGCGTCATGCAGGTTCTGAAGGCCAGGCAGCAGAACATGGTGGATCTCAGTGGCAGCTGCAATGTGCATGGCGGTGGGGAAGGTGTCATTGGAGCTCTGGCTCTTGTTGACATGGTCGTTGGGGTGGACTGGATCTTTGGAGCCCAGTGTGCCTCCCATAATCTCAATAGCTCTGTTGCTGATCACCTCATTGACGTTCATATTTGTCTGGGTTCCTGAGCCTGTCTGCCATACCACAAGAGGGAAATGCTCATCCAGGTTACCAGCTGAAACCTCTTCTGCAGCTTGGACGATTGCACTTGCTATCTTTGGGTCGAGACCATAGTCTTTGTTCACCTCTGCAGCTGCCTTCTTGAGGATACCAAACGCTCTGATGACTTGTATAGGCATTCTCTCTGTTGGTCCCCCAATCTTAAAGTTCATGGTAGATCTGACAGTCTGTGCCCCGTAGTACTTGTCAGCGGGGACCTTGAGCTCTCCAAATGTGTCTCTCTCGATCCTGAACTCGGAGCTGGCCATAGTGGAGGTGGAGAAGAGCAGCTTATTCCTTACGTTGTGCCGCTGGGAAGTCAGGAGGTAGCAGTTAAACTGCTGAAAGCTGCGAAGAGAGCGAAACATGGCTGCACATTAGAGGTGAATGAGGGGGAGGTCAGGGTACTGCTGCACATTGGAACCTGTCATTGGCGGCCGAGATTACTGACGGTAAAGCAGCCAATCCTGAGGAGTGTTTGGTGGGATTTCCGCTGTTATCGACCAGTAAAAATTGACTGTTCATTTAGCGTCGTGCACATCCTTAAAGGTCACAAAAATGCATCCGTGTTCGGCTTCCGGTTTACTGTACGCAGCTCTGTTTTCCAAAATAAACGAGACTAACAAGGTCCCATCATTGACTGTAAATATTAATATCCCATATGTGACTGATTAAAGTTTAATTCCAGGAAACCTTTTTCAGACATTGGGAATTTAAATGAAAATATTAACATGAACATATTTATAGCTGTCATTGGCCGGTATTACTATGGTTTTGTCTTCATCTGTTCAACAATATTTCACTGTATGTGTTGGTTCGTTTTTATTTTGTATTTTACTTTGAAAAGCAGAGAGGAAGCGTGATTGCATTAGTGCTACTTTGGCCTCGCGGCAGCTCTCGCGGTACGTCAGTGTAGTGCACTGTTAGCTTGTTGCTATCCGCTACATGACGATCTGAAAAGTGCAATTAGAAATAGACACACAGGACTGCGCAGTTCAGCCACACACAGAGCTGCAAGACCAACAGCAGGATGCCGCACAGCTTCCAGCCCGGGGACCTGGTCTTCGCCAAAATGAAAGGATATCCCCATTGGCCAGCTCGGGTAAGCAGCGTTAGCAGAGAGCAGAGAGGGGCGGAGGAGGCTTCTCTGGGCTGCGATGCTCCGGCTTCTATGTTTATCCTTCACGTCTACAATATGCATCACTGTGTAACGTCATAATGCATTGACAACCTGCACTTCACTAATGTTTCCACTGTTTAATCACACTTTTGTGCTGCGCAGTTTTCCTAAATTAACATATAATTTCTGTATCTTGATGTTTTCCTGTGATAAAATATGCAAATATGTAACTCGTTTGAGTATGAGATGTCTTTTTGAACCTCTTAGTGAATTTTCTGTTATAGATCGAAGATGTGGTTGACGGGGCAGTGAAACCACCTCCAAACAAAATACCCATTTTCTTTTTCGGGACACATGAAACGTAAGTCTGGCAAAGTATTGAGATGTGTATTGAAAAAAATCATTATCAAACTCCTTTTTTATTAGGCTGGTCAAATGCTAAATGTCTATTCTTATGAAAATGGCTGATATGAGTTTTTATTATTGTTTTTGTTTACAGTGCATTCCTTGCTCCAAAGGACCTATTTGCCTTTGAGAAGTACAGAGAACGTTATGGGAAGCCTAACAAAAGGAAAGGATTTAATGAGGGTTTATGGGAGATCCAAAACAATCCACATGCTTCCTATAGTGCTCCTCCTGCGGTAAATACATGTCACGTCTATCAATCATCAATCTTATCAATCCATTTCAAATTGAAAACTATGCTTTTCATGGTGCACTGCCATTACTTTTTTTTTACCTTTTAGCCCGCCAGTTCGTCTGATAGTGAAGGCAATAATGCTGGTGGAGGAAGTGAAGAGGATGAAGAAGAAGAAGAGGAGGAGGATGAAGAAGCAGCAGCTCCAGTGCCTCAGCGAGCAGAATCAGCAAGTGATGTGGATTCGGATTCAGGCAGTGAAGTTCGGGGACGGGGAGGAGGAGCTAAACGCAAGCCACCCGCTGCAAAAGTAATTTCCTTTTATACTCATTTCCAGCGTTATTAAGTTATTACAATGTGATTCAGTTCTACATAAACAATTGAACTCACCCTTCAGAGGCCGCCTCCACCCAAAAAGGCTCGCGGTTCTTCTAGTGACCGAAATGACACTGGCTCTCCATCTGAATCTGAGCCCACTCCATCAGACTCAGACTCTGCTAAAAACAGTGACCAGGTTACTATAGTTTTAATTTATTTGTATTTTACATCCATACAGTCACTTAAACTCTCCTCATCTTTAAACAGGATTTCACACCAGAGAAGAAAGCTGGACGAGGTGGAAAGAAGGTTGGAGGTAGAAGAAAGAAAAGGGTATGTAAATATACTGACATTTGACTTTTTTAAAAAAATTTTTAATGTAAAATATTGGTTCTGAAAGTTGCTACAGAAATAATCGTGATGAAGTGAAGAAAATAAGCAGTGTGACAAATCCAAATTATGAAAATTACACAAAATCCACAAACTATTCATACCTTATTTTCTCAGCATGTGAATGGTTGAATCAACAATTGCAAAGACTGCAATTATTAGGTTATTTTGCAAACAACAAAACATTACTATGATGAAAGCTGCTGGTTTTTCAGTTCCGACATGTATGCTGATATTACTATTAGTTTATGTTTATATGATCATATTTCAGCCTTAGTTATATTGACATAATGCACTTTGAATGCGTTAAATATTTCAGACATGAGAACATAGCTTGGTTATCTAATTGCAATGTTTGCCAGAAAAAACAAAAACAAATTTTTCAACGTTAACTACAGAAAACAAGGTATCACCCAAGAACTTGTACACCAATCATAATATTGCCAATTCTTGATGTGTTTGAAAAGGCCTCATCAGGATCGAATTCTGACTCTGGATCAGCCATGGAGAAGAAGGCGGCCGACAGCGATTCCGACGACGACAAGCCGCGGCCTGCTCTCTCTGGCTCCGAATCACAGTCTGGATCTAAGTCCGACTCAGACTCTGATCAACCTGCAAAGAAACCGCCACCGGCAGCACGCAAGAAAGCAGCAGGTCAGCTCATCCCCAACAAAAGCACAGACTAGCTGCTCCCAAACATTGAAATGATCTCCGAAGTCTTCAGGAATTCTACATGTTCTGAATGCTAGTCAGATTGAGCGAAAGTTGCAGGAGTCGTGAAATAAAAGATTCTGATGTGTGGATTACAACCTCAGAAAATTAAAAATTGTAAAATTGTAATTTTATAATAATAATGCATTGTATGTAAAATGTATTTTATTGGCATAGTTGGATTTTTATATTGATGCAACCCCTAAAAGAAGTAGATCTGAGCCCTTTTTGTTTCGTAAAAGTAGATTTCTGAGACAAAAAAGGCTGGATAGTACAACAAATTTGTATCACTTTTTTGATGTGTAATGAATTGCTTTTTTAGACAAACCGCCTCCGAAGCCCCGTGCACGGAAACCTAAGCCAGCTCCAGCTAAACGAGCCCCCACCTCATCATCTGACAGCGACAGGTAAATCATCGCAAATTTGCTCTAGATTCCTTTTGTGAGCATTTTCAGACACTCATCTCTGTCCATGTGTGTCCATGTGTGTGCAGTGACAGCGAACCAGACCGTATCAGTGAGTGGAAGAAGAAAGATGAGGAACGGCGACGAGAGCTGGAGGAGCTCAGGAAAAAGGAAGAGGCCGAGGAGATCCGTCGACTGCGCGAGCGAGAAAAGGAAGAGGATGATCAGAGGAAGAAGGACAAGGACAAGGACAAGGGAAAAAAGGGCAGCGACAGCAGCAGTAGTTCAGACGAAGGGGCGGACGATCACCCTTTGAAGAAATCCAAAAAACCTCCTCCACCACCCATTCCGGCTCCATCTGACTCTGACTCTGCCCCTGAGGTGAAAGGAAGTCCGAATTATTTGCTTGCTAAGTATGGCTGTAAATGAGGTTAATCAAAATATTTTGTTTGTAGATAAATATTACCCTGGAATAGCCACTACACATTCAGCTAAACTAAACATAATGATGAAGATGGAGATGACTGTAAATTACTTCTGTTTGAAAACAGGTGAAAAAGCCACCCAAGAAGACTGACAATCAGAAAAAAGAAAAGCTAAAACGGGAGAAGGAGAAAAAGGAAAAGAAGGAGAGGGCGCTAAAAGAGAAAAAGGCCAGACGATTGGAGGAAAAATCCAGAGCAAGGTGTGTCCTCGAGCAAAACTGACCATAACACTATTGGCCTATTTTTCTTATGTCTCTCATCTCATTCAGGTCAAAACCCGACAAACCAAAACGCAAACCAGAGAGGCCGCCAGAGAAGAAAGTTGAAAAGAAAAAGGGTCAGGATTATCATATCTCAAATATTTTAAGTCTATGAAGTTGTATTTGAGTTATTTTTGTATTGTTATTGTTGCATCTTGATTGTAGAACCATCTCCAGAAGAACAGCTGCAGAAACTCCACTCAGACATAAAGTTTGCGCTTAAAGTGGACAACCCAGTGAGTGCAGCAAAGTAAAGTGTGTTGCTTTGGGCGTTTGGATGGTTCAAATGATGATCTGTTATTTTAGGACATAGACCGGTGTCTACAAGCCTTACGGGAACTTGAAAACGTGCCAGTCACCAGCCAAATTCTCCACAAGAACGCAGAAGTGATCGCTACATTGAAAAAGGTTACTTTTGCACATTGGATTTAGTAACGTATTGTAATTATTATATTACATAATCCTGCGTATTCTGGCATCGACTCCCTTCCAGATACGACGGTATAAATCAAGTGCTGCAGTCATGGAAAAAGCTTCAGAAGTTTACAACAAATTAAAACTACGCTTTGTTGGTAAAGGAGAGATGCCGATTAAACCAAAAACGGAAGACCCCACAAATAATGAAGACATAGAAAACAATGGTAATTACTTGTTTGATGTTTATAATTTTATTTTCATAATGTACAACAATATCCTGGATCATGTTTTCTTTTATCAGAGCCAACTCCACTAAATGGCAACTCTGTGCAAAATGAGGATGCAGAAAAGGACAATAATCCCAAATCGCCTCTTCAGGAAGAAAACAATGACCACCACTCTTCCAGCCCAAGGTACTTTGTGTGTGAAGTATGAAACGGCAACAAAAAAAAACGTATTGTAACTTTATTTTTACTTATTTTTTGTGCAGACGGAGCCCAGACAGTCCTGCTGAGCCACATTCACCGTCTTTTGAGGAAAAGGACAACTCACTTTCTGCAGAGATGGAGCCAGCTGCTGTGGAAAGCTGAGGGATTTTACCTGCGCCTGTATTGGACCAAGTGCTGAAAGACGGTGGCCTACACAGAGCTTCGTAGCCTCTTCTCCTGTTACACCTTTGACATTTTCTACTACAAAACATTATTTTCAACCCGAAATTCCAAATTATTCAAGCGGATCTGCTACTTATCCCAACAGTAAACCACAAGTTAGTTAAAGAGGCTTTGCAAATTGTTCAATGACTGTGATACTTGAGGAGTCCTGGATCTTTACCACAGCTATGGGTCAACTCCTGGAGCAGCCATTACCCGTTTGGCATAGTACTTGGAGGACGAAGATGGAGATGGAAGTATGCGTTGAATCTGCTGCAAGAAAAAGTGGGGATATGCTTGTTGTTTTTCCGTTTGGCATTTTAGCACTGCGCTTCATCTAAAGGCCTACTTTGTTTTTGTTTTTTTAAATAAAACCGTCTACGGCCTGTCTGTGAGAATGATAGTAAGAGACTTTGTAAGAATACGGTCTTTTATGTTTGTTTCTTTTTTAATGATCTGATAAAAAAAAACCTGAAAAATGTAAAGAAATGTCTCTCAATTGTAATTATGATTGAGGTTGACTAAATGTTTTATAAGCTTGCTGGCAGACATAGTTATCCACAGGTTGTCTACGGCAAATGAAGCAACTGCACACCCACGCTCTCCTTGTCAGCTTGAAGTAATGTGCATATTATATTTGTACTGACTGGGATGTTACATGTAAAGATCTCATGTAGATAGCTGCAGACTGTGATTCTGTCCTGTCACTTACAACTGGTGTTTTTAGTGGTACATTGATAAAAGCATTTATATCACTTTGAGAGATTAAATAAAAATCTCAGCATGGTTTTCTGACTATGGTATGTGTCTAACCTTTTATATGGAATGTTTACAAAAATATAAACTTCTAAAGCTGCCTTTGGAACTTTTCTGATGGAGTTTGTGTGTTTGTAATTCTTTGCCTTTTAAAACCGAGGAAACATCAGGCCAAGTTACAAGTCAGACGTCTCATTTATAAAACTAAACTATCATTTCCTTGAAGTTCTGTGTTAAGTGTGTGACCTCGGGGTCTATGGAAGTTTGGATTTATTTTTTTATGGTATTCAAATAATAAATTACTTAAAGGTAGCTTTTCTAAATGAGACCCCACATCTTTTTTCTGACAGCCCTGCTCACAGTAAGAATGCGTGGTATTAAATCTCAGAAAAGTTCACTGATCATTTTGGAAACGAAAGCTCGAGTAACTCACTTTTTTGTTTCAGGAATATACAAAGAAGTGATTAAGTAACATTTAGTAAAAAAAATCTGACAAAAAAACCACACTATGCTGTCTTCAACTCATTAAGAAAACATTTTACTAGTGAGATTATTGGCTGAGTGAGGGCATGCATGTGAAAAAAGTGAGAACCAACCATTATTATAGATCCATGGAACCAACACATTTTTAGAGCGAGGATCAAGTTACATGGATTGTACTACATAGTTTAATTACACATTTCCAGCTTAAAAAAAAATATATATAAAAAAATACTAAATCGAGTTACTTTCTGAAACACATCCAATCAAAAACCATGAGTATTTTAATATTTTTAATATGTAAACTATGTTATGTTTTGTGCAAAGGTAGTATCAGTGCGCACACATAATAATAATAATAATAATAATAATGATTTTCTAAGAGCCTGTTCTGTCCTGTTGGTGTCATGTTGCAGAACCAGGGACTAGACCTTTAATTCCGCTTGAATCTCGCGTAATACTCGGGTCAGCTGACTTTCGACGCCATTTTGTCAGCCATTTCCTCCGCTGATCCATCCGTCTGTGTGGAGCTCAGGACGGGACCGTGTGGCCTCAGCCTCCTGCCCCGGGATCCGTGAACACAGCGGCAGAAGAACACGGTACAGCCCGCGGGAGGAGCGACAGCCGAGCCGGGCCCCCACGCTTCTGCACGGCCCCTGCACGACCCCAGTCCCCTGCTCAGAGGAACCAGTCATTCCAGCCATGGCTTTGAAGATTGTCAAAGGGAGCATCGATCGGATGTTCGACAAAAACCTCCAGGATTTAGTGCGTGGCATAAGAAACCACAAAGAGGACGAGGTAAACCATTATAATGTCCCACTGCTGCAGGATCCCAGCTCCGTGGATGTCCATGATGAGGGACTTTTGCATGTTCCGTTATGGTGTCCACTCCTGCTACAGCCTAGAGCCTGGACAGGAGCTAAAGCTGCGTTACAATATGAGTCAGCTCTGTTATTTGCCTTTTAGGGCATGATTAACATTGCAAACCAAATATTTAAATTATTCTTCAACACATTGTTTATCTGTCACTGGTTGCTATTATTACAACAGTGGAGCAACCATCTGGAGACGCACCATCAACCACAGCGTTCTCAAATCATCTCACTTTACTTATTATATATTTTTATTTACTAGTAGAGTCATATTTATTTACCTCCGTGCTTAATCGGATTCACCTACAATAATTTGCCAATGATGTATGTATGTGTGTATGCATAGATGATATAATGTAATGTACATGAATTTAGCATTAAATCTTTCACACCTAATGGATTTATATGTGATCAGGTTTTTTTTATGATAGACAAGTGATAATGTCAACATTGGCTCATCTCCGTGTGTGACGGGATGGACCATTAGAGGGCACTATTTGGGACAGCCACGTCTCCAGCTCCCTGCTCTCTGACACAGGAGGATGAGACAGAAGCTCGTCATAGTGTCATAGTGTCATTGTTTTGAGGAGCTTCCATATTCTGATTTGGTCATATAAACTGGTTATTTTGAGCATCGAGAGTCAACCATAGTCTCCGAAATCTATGTGAAAGTGCCTGTCATGATGGCACTGAGCAGAGCTGTGTGCACGCCTGTCTGACTGAGAAGCATGTGTGAAATGTAGGAAGATGGTGTTTTACTCAAAGTTTGCAGCTTTCTTTGGCTTTATGCTTTTTTTTTATTTTTTTTTTTTTTTTTTACTTTTATACGCAGCAATTTTCAAACACCAACAATTTGAACTATGATACAAAATCAATCCAACCAGTTTCTTGACCACAAAACTCTTATCACTTATCGCTTTTAACTCTTATCAGTTTTCACATACATGTATTTTTGGCCTCAGTCACATCTTCAGATCAGCTTTTCCAGACAGCAAGGTGAAAAAGAGAGGTCAACCCTCACTCAGCCAGAAGTGTCAAATAGTGACTCACAGGGCTCTTTCTTACGTACATGCAAAAGATGAAGATTGCTTGTTGTAGTAATTTAGGATTTGATTACATTTGGTTATCATTACTCAGCATTTGTCCCATGTCACACAGAGGTCAGCATTTACGTGTATGCTAGCTTTTTTTGAGTCCATGATTTTTTGATCTGTGTCCGACTGCTACCCAGTTCCCTGTGGAAACTCATCCCTGATCTGGCGGATAAGGTGGTGGTTGCCTGGTCAACTGGGGACCGTTTGTTAAAATATTAATACAGTGCCGGTAGACCTGCTCTGACTTTTTCCCCTTGTCGCGGATTACTTTTGCACACACTGCATTTGTACAAAGACATGCCGTTCAAGAAGCCAAAGCTGGAGTACTGAATTTTAAAACCACAATAAATAACTGTGTAATAAATATAATGTTTATATATAAAGTAATTTCTAGCTCTCAGAACAGTTTGGTTTCACATGCATCCAAATTAGTATTTAAACTTCATACTTACTTGAGCAAAGATCAATACTAAGAATGCTTACGTACATGGGAAAACTACAAGAATTTTACATTTCTGGATTCATTTTCCAGATACAGTGCCTTGCGAAAGTATTCGGCCCCCTTGAACCTTTCAACATTTCGCCACATTTCAGGCTCCAAACATAAAGATATAAAATTTAATTTTTTTGTCAAGAATCAACAAGAAGTGGGACACAATCGTGAAGTGGAATGAAATTTATTGGATAATTTAAACTTTTTTAACAAATAAAAAACTGAAAAGTGGGGCGTGCAATATTATTCGGCCCCTTTACTTTCAGTGCAGCAAACTCACTCCAGAAGTTCAGTGAGGATCTTTGAATGATCCAATGTTGTCCTAAATGACTGATGATGATAAATAGAATGCACTTGTGTGTAATCAAGTCTCCGTATAAATGAACCTGCTCTTTGATAGTCTCAGGGTTCTGTTTAAAGCGCAGAGAGAACCATGAAGACAAAGGAACACACCAGGCAGGTCCGAGATACTGTTGTGGAGAAGTTTAAAGCCGGATTTGGATACAAAAAGATTTCCCAAGCTTTAAACATCTCAAGGAGCACTGTGCAAGCAGTTATATTGAAATGGAAGGAGTATCAGACCACTGCAAATCTACCAAGACCCGGCCGTCCCTCCAAACTTTCATCTCAAACTAGGAGAAGACTGATCAGAGATGCAGCCAAGAGGCCCATGATCACTCTGGATGAACTGCAGATAACTACAGCTGAGGTGGGAGAGTCTGTCCATAGGACAACAATCAGTCGTGCACTGCACAACTCTGGCCTTTATGGAAGAGTGGCAAAAAGAAAGCCATTTCTCAAAGATATCCATAAAAAGTCTCGTTTAAAGTTTGCCACAAGCCACCTGGGAGACACACCAAACATGTGGAAGAAGGTGCTCTGGTCAGATGAAACCAAAATCGAACTTTTTGGCCCCAATGCAAAACGATATGTTTGGCGTAAAAGCAACACAGCTCATCACCCTGAACACACCATCCCCACTGTCAAACATGGTGGTGGCAGCATCATGGTTTGGGCCTGCTTTTCTTCAGCAGGGACAGGGAAGATGGCTAAAATTGAGGGGAAGATGGATGGAGCCAAATACAGGACCATTCTGGAAGAAAACCTGTTGGAGTCTGCAAAAGACCTGAGACTGGGATGGAGATTTATCTTCCAACAGGACAATGATCCAAAACATAAAGCCAAATCTACAATGGAATGGTTCACAAATAGACGTATCCAGGTGTTAGAATGGCCAAGTCAAAGTCCAGACCTGAATCCAATCGAGAATCTGTGGAAAGAGCTGAAGACTGGTGTTCACAAACGCTCTCCATCCAACCTCACTGAGCTCGAGCTGTTTTGCAAGGAAGAATGGGAAAGAATTTCAGTCTCTCGATGTGCAAAACTGATAGAGAAATACCCCAAGCGACTTGCAACTTTAATTGCAGCAAAAGGTGGCGCCACAAAGTATTAGCGCAAGGGGGCCGAATAATATTGCACGCCCCACTTTTCAGTTTTTTATTTGTTAAAAAAGTTTAAATTATCCAATACATTTTGTTCCACTTCACGATTGTGTCCCACTTGTTGTTGATTCTTGACAAAAAATGTAATTTGTATATCTTTATGTTTGAAGCCTGAAATGTGGCGAAATGTTGAAAGGTTCAAGGGGGCCGAATACTTTCGCAAGGCACTGTACACTATACACCATATCAGTGGAACTTAGCATTTACAAAATATTGTCCAAAAAGATTGCTGCAGTGTTGAGTATTGAGGGTTATTTTTATTTATTTTCTCGTGTAGAAAACAAGTTTGACAACACTAGTCACATCTTTAGATCAGATTTTTCAGTGACTAAAAGAGAACTGCAAAAAGATGCCATGCTTTCTAATAAGATTAAGACCGCATGCGGTTTTGATTTGTTAAAATATGTTATTGAAACAAGACTCTGTTGGGACAAACAAAATGATGATAATAAAAATAACAAAAGTTAGGTACACATTCAAATGCAAGCTCCTTCAATATTCGTTTGGCTATGTTTCGACTCGTTCATTTAATTGATACAAACTATACTTTGTTTTGCACAGGACCTTGTGTCTTGTCAATTAGAAAGTTATGCGAGCGATTTCATTTGTGAATCGGACGAGGCGAGGAGCATCATGTGTGTCTGGTGACAGTGGGATGAATGCTCTGTGCTGCCCATGCTATTGCCCCCCTCCCCCCTGGCCCCCTCCTGTCACCGTGGTGTCTTATGACTCCACACACATGACTGCCTCGCTCGCTCAGCTGAATGTGAGCACGTTTTTCTTTTCAATTTTTTAGTTGCTGTTCCCAATAAAACTTTGTAATCCTGAAACTCATTGCTCAGAAATTGCAAATAACAAAAAATACTATGTTGAATAACTATGTAATCGAATCCACAACAGTTTGCTTCTGTCGCTAGTTTTCACAGACATTGGCTCTCACATATTTAGGTCGGCTTTTTCAGACAGAAAAATGAAAAGCAGACAACCCTCCCTCAGCCAATCAGTTCTTGGTATGTAAAAGATAACTTGTTTTCCAATAAGGTAAAGCATGTTGAGGTTTAATTAGTTCACAAAATGTTACTTAAACAAGACGGGCTGCAACCCTTATTCAATTACAAATAATTGATTCTTTTTAGATTGTTTCAGTAATTGATGAATTGTTAACTGATCCATACAGACCCGATAACAAGAATGTGTTGAGGGACTTGATTGTTGATCGTCAAACAAAGCTTCATTTCATTGGTTTGTCACAAGAGTCTTGTAAAAGTAACAATTTATGACAGAATCACAACATGCTGTCTGTATCTGTGAGTCACTATTTGACACTTTGAGCTGATTGGCAGAGCCTGGGTGGTCCTTTTCTTTATCGTTGTTTGGTCTGTAAAAGCTGAGATATAAACTAACATGTATGTGAAAACAGTTTTGAGAGTGAGAAACCGTCTTTATAACATGTTTTGATTTTATTGTGGTTTGAAAGCTAGCTACCTATAATGTTATTATTATTATTATTGTGTCCTTGGGTGGCTTCACTTGTCAAAAGTCTAATGTTTGGGTTCTAAGTAAGTAATCTTTTTATATATTGCCCTCCACAAAGCACTTTCCAATTGTTCTTAGCACATGCCAGACCTATTGGACATATTTTTAGTGGTAGGGGAAACCGGAGCACCCGGAGGAAACTTGTGCATACATACAACTCCACTCAGAAAGACCCTGTTACAACCAGGATTTGAACACAGGACCTTCTTGCTGAGAAGCTGTATTGCTATCCACTCAGCCGCCGTGGTGCCCGTTCTAAACAAGTGAAACCTAATAATGTATGTGTATGAATATAAATAATTATATATTTTCTGCAGATTGAGTCCTATCAAAACCAATGCTGTGGCTCTGAACACATTGGAGATATAATTAACAGATGAAAGTGCGTTTTATATGATTTTTAATTTTAAACATGTTTTTATGGAGGAAACGTACTTGAGTATTAAAATGTTAAGCCATTTTGACAAAGATGGATTTGAAAAAAAAATGCGGCTCTTGCTTGTGGGTAAAAGCGTTTTTGAGCTCCAGACTCCAACCCACCTAATCTCATCTGGTGTCTGTCTGTGCCCTCTCCGTTCAGGCCAAGTACATCTCAACATGCATCGACGAGATCAAACAGGAGCTCAAGCAGGACAACATCGCTGTCAAAGCCAATGCTGTGTGCAAGCTCACCTACGTAAGGCTGCTTTACTGACTCAGACGGCTCCATCTCTGCTGCACACTGAAGCTGCATTTATGAGGCAACATGCAGTGTCTGACTCAAATGTTTTGAACATATTTCTTTCTAACCTTCATCCATAGATTAGAGAAGATGGTACATATACTTGTTCCCACAAATCCAAGCTTAGCAGCACATAGACATTCAGCCTTCTGCATAAATGAAATGACTATGAAAGCAGCAATGATTCTATTTTTAACTTTGCTTTCTTGGTTAGATTGCCAGCTCAGAGATTGGCTTGAATGTGAAGGTTCCAAAGCCAAAATCATTTGACCTTTCTGTGTACACACATGGCTCATAGCTTCCCTATTTTAATAACCATCTTTTTCCCTCCAGCTTCAAATGCTTGGCTATGATGTCAGCTGGGCAGCTTTCAACATTGTTGAAGTCATGAGCTCTTCAAAGTTTACATACAAGGTATGACTGAGAAGTAAACCCTTTTATGAAGATGGAAATGTGTTTTTATAAACTCTGATGCACATTATGTAGTAATAAATTCAGAATAACAGGTGCTGTGTACATCTGTCTTACTTCCACAGAGGATTGGGTACCTGGCTGCCTCGCAGTGCTTTCATGAGAGCACAGATGTCATTATGCTGACGACTAACCAAATCCGAAAGGTTAGTTGAACTTTAAAGACTACATTAATGTGATCAAAATGGGAATAACACTTCTGTTCACTTAGGACCTGAGCAGTCCCAACCAGTATGACACGGGGGTGGCTCTTACTGGACTCTCCTGTTTTGTGACTCCTGACTTAGCCCGAGACCTGGCCAATGATATCATGACACTTGTGAGTAAACCTTAATACTGTATTTGTAATCAAATGTGATAGTATAATTACAGCTTTTTTTTGTACCTTGTAGATGTCTCATACAAAACCCTACATCAGAAAGAAGGCAGTTTTGATCATGTACAAAGTTTTCCTCAAGTACCCAGAATCCCTGAGGCCTGCGTTCCCTAGACTTAAGGAGAAACTGGAGGATCCAGACCCAGGTATGTGCACCACACCAGAGGTTGGCAGTGAATGCGCTTTTGTTACATATATTTCTTGGATTTCAGACAGACTTATTGGTTTTCATGATTTTTAACGTTCAAGTGTGAAGAGTTGCAGTAGACACAGCTGAGACCTTTGGAGTCTGTGGCATTATTTCTGTCACCTGAGCCCCATAAATAATTCAGCCACTGAGAATATGAGATAAAGTTCTTTTGTGCGGCTGCCAGGACATCAAACCAACAAAATCTATTCTTGTTCCTCAGACCATGACCTATTCTTTATCATCTTTAATTAACAGCTTTAACTTGAGCCTTTTCTGTTGCTGATAACGAACCACCACTAAAATGTTGTATTCATCTCTTTCACCACAGGAGTTCAGTCCGCAGCGGTGAACGTCATCTGTGAACTGGCTCGACGGAATCCTAAAAACTACCTTTCTCTTGCCCCTCTCTTTTTTAAACTCATGACCTCTTCCACTAATAACTGGGTTCTTATTAAGATTATCAAACTGGTGAGTTACCCACAGTGAACTACATTTGTTAACCTCAATATAAATACTTACATTTCTTTCAGTTTGGTGCTCTAACTCCACTAGAGCCTCGTTTGGGGAAGAAGCTCATTGAACCTTTGACCAATTTAATTCATAGGTTAGTGAGTGAGTCATTTGTGTATATATATTTATGTATTCATCTCACCTTTTCCTTCTTTCTCACAGTACCTCCGCCATGTCCCTCCTTTATGAATGTGTCAACACCGTAATTGCAGGTTTGTACTAACTTTTTCAACTAAAACAAACCTCATTATCTAGCACTACTAATTGTTTTTTTTGCATGTACCATTTTCTCTCAGTGTTGATCTCCTTGTCGTCCGGGATGCCTAACCACAGTGCTAGTATCCAGGTAAGCTGCACGTTCATTCCACCCTTTCCACTCCAGTTACGTGTGCATCCTTTCGCCACGGTCTTTATTTTGTCTAATATTTGACCTACAATCATCAGAGAAGGCCGAGCAATCCACACGATGCACTCTAGGCCTTTGTGACGGAACAATGCATGAAAAATCCTGCATTGTTTTTCTCTCCACTTTGTTTTCTATGACTTTGATGATAATAATATGGTATAGACTAAAGCTGGAGCACCTAACCTTTTTAAGTTTCAGAGCCCAACATGCTTTATTTATCTTTATTTCTTTATATCTTTATTTCAGAAGCCAAACATATAAAACTAGTGATTAGGGCTGTAAAAAACAATTTATTCATACTTGATCAGTGGTGCCTCTTGCACCAAATGTGGAAGCCAGATCCTGTCAGAGCTCTGAGGCGAAGCAGGGTTAGTGCTGTGATGAGATCTCTGAAAACATCACAGGTTTGCCACAGTGGGGCGGCTGCGGCTACAATAGTATAAAAATTAAATAATACAATTAGTCACACACACACGGTTGGTGATGGTCGGGGACCTATGGCACATAATGGTTTCCTTGCTTCTGTCAGTCTGCCCAAAGGCAGCTGTGGCTACAGTAGTACTGCAACATTGTGTACGGAGTGAAAAAATAAATGTGAGGCGTCTTTGAGTGTCCAGAAAAGCTTTAATATAAAACAGTTTTTATATTACTATTAATTTGCCAATTGTTCTTGTTAAATCAAAGAAATACAAATTTAAACTATATTCTAATTTTCATCCTCCTGTATTTCAATAACCATTAGTCCCGAAGACATTTGATCTGAAAATGCAATCGAACAGTTCAGAGAATCGATGATAGTGATATTTATATAGTTAATTTTGTGTGGTTTCAAAGTTGGATACCCCAGCTTTAAACTGGTGTTGAAAGGCTCTGAATGTTGTTAATGCTTTTTCCGTCTTTCCCCTTTCTTCTGTTTTGTTTTCCTACAGCTCTGTGTTCAGAAACTGCGGATCCTGATCGAAGACTCGGACCAGAACTGTGAGCCCTCTGTCAATGCCTGCAGTGTGTCATTTTCTCATTGTCTGCGTGTTTCTCACTTCGGAGCTGCCCGCCCACTTAGATGATAACGCTGTAGGACCCCTGGCTCTAGATAACTCAATTAATATTACTTTATTACTTTACTAAGGAAATGTGTGTGGATTCTGCAAGCCTGCCCTGTAAAAAATAAATCGGAGCGCATGGACTAGTGCAAGAAATAATTCCACTGTACTTCTACTGTTCGAGATGAACAGTGAGTTTGAGTTATCCGGACCCACATGAATAGATAGCTGTGTTTGTGCTGTAGTCCAGTGGTTCTCAGCTGGAGCGGTGTCTTATAACGCCAAATCAGAACAAAATTCAATATTTATCTGTAAAATACTGTTGAATTATACTACAAAAGCTAAAATTATGGACAAAATGACTCAGAGTCTCTAATGTCTTCGAGTCAACACTTTAGGCGAGACAAATGTAGAGATTTGTAGGAAACCAGGTTGCTGTATAGAAAGTGTCCTGGATGCTGCTACCTTAGTGCAAGCTTTGTAACTATTTAAAAGAAATCAATTCAGTTATTTATGATTCAATTTTCTTTCAGAACACTTTTAGTATTACTTACTTAATGTACTGTAGCATTTTTAAATGTTGCCAAGGAAAAGGTCGGCGACCCACTTTTGTGTCCCGACCCACCAGTTGAGAACCACTTAGCTTAGATGGAAAATACTTGTGCATCTTTAAACATGTACCATTTAAAGCACAAGGTTATCGTACTGACAATTTGTGTAGATTAATTGTACTGATATGGACACACAGTATTTTGTGTATTTATTAATTTTTCTGTCTCTCAAATGTAGAGAAAATTATGATGAAGATAAATATTGTCTTCTATATCATCACCTGAGCCCAAGGTGCCTGCTGCATAAAGGTTTTAAAGGAGGTTCAGCTGAAGGAATAGACCTTCAACAGCCGGCACAAAAAATATTTTCTGTGTAGAAGACGGTTTGATTAATCGATTAATGACGGTGCTAAAGTTCCAGTCGTGTGTGTGTGTCTTGTTTGTGTGTGTGTCTTTGTGACTAAGTGTGTTTCACTTTACTTTTGCTTTTTCGTTGCTTTTACTCCACGGCATGCGTTTTATTATTTGTAATTTACTTTTTTACAAATGCATATGCATGTACATGTTAAGGTAACATTATGCATACAATCAATATTATTAATGTAGAAGAAATTACACTACACTTTGAGTTATTGTCCATACTGAAAGCTAGTGTGCCCAACTTTTACAAATAAGCCGTTCTTTTCCTTGTATTTTGAACAAATCAGGCCGTGACATGCTGCCTTCATCTTATCAAAATACACACGTTATTTTTTTGCTAACTTGTAAGAAAGACCACTGTGAGTTAATATTTGACACTGGCTTTGTTACATCTTTGGATCTGCTTTTTCAGACAAAAGGAAATGGGTTAACTAATGAAAACTAGTGATAGAACCAAACTATCAAAGTCCATACAACTCGTGCTCTCAAAACATAGTTCCATTCAGGTCTGAAAGTTGGGTACCGCAGCTCAGAATCACTTAGTACTAAATCCATATGTACTGTACATTTTATTAAGCCCTGTGTGTGTGCACATTTTTCCAGTGAAATACTTAGGGCTCTTGGCCATGTCGAAGATCCTAAAGACTCATCCTAAATCAGTCCAGTCGCACAAAGACCTCATCCTCCAGTGTCTCGATGACAAGGACGAGTCGATCCGTCTCCGAGCTCTGGACCTACTCTATGGAATGGTTTGAACTCTTTTGATTTTCTTTATTGAAGAATGTTGTGTCTATGCTACAGTACGCTTAACATAACGTTTTGATGCTCTTCAACAGGTGTCCAAGAAGAACTTAATGGAGATTGTGAAGAAACTGATGTTGCATGTGGACAAAGCAGAAGGAACAACCTACAGAGATGAACTTCTGACAAAGATCATCGATATTTGCAGCCAGAGCAACTACCAGTACATCACAAACTTTGAATGGTCTGTATTTGCATCCCTCCAAAGGCTTGACCAGTGCATATTTGTTATTTCTTGATCTAAAATGGCCTCTGTGCCCTCAGGTACATAAGTATTCTGGTGGAGCTGACCCGGTTGGAGGGGACAAGGCATGGCCACCTCATTGCCTCTCAGATGCTGGACGTTGCCATTAGAGTTAAGGCCATTCGAGTCTTTGCTGTTGCTCAGATGGCGATGTTGCTGGACAATTCTCACTTCCTGACTGGCAACATGCAGCGTAATGGTATCTGTGAAGTCCTGTATGCTGCAGCGTGGATATGTGGAGAGTTTTCCGAGTATGTACTATCTCATTACTGTCCCTTTTTTAAACCGTATTTGTCGACTAACTTAAATTCTTCTTGATAGACACTTGGAGAATCCTGCTCAAACACTTGAAGCAATGCTGCGTCCCAAAGTGGCCACTCTCCCGGGTCACATTCAGGCTGTGTATGTGCAGAATGCAGCCAAACTGTTTGCCACAGTGTTGAAGAGTCAAGAAGGAAACACTGAGAGCACCGCCACTCAGGAAAACATCCAGCTAATGATTGACAGACTGCCGCTCTTTGTGCAGAGTGCAAACCTGGAGGTGCAGGAGAGGGTACGTCACAGATTTGATAGAATATCATATTCTAGGACATGTGTGCAAAATTGATTGTAACCAATAGCCTTTGTTCCACTGTTTATTGATCAGCAACATTCCTGAAGTTGTTTTTATTGACATTCTGAGTCATCTGTCAAACATACTTTCTAAAAGCTTAAACTTTGATCTGTTACATACGTATCTCTGACTCTGTTTTTGCTTTTTAGAGGTTTTTTATGGATTCATTAACGTTTATTATGTTTAATTGTTGTGGTGTAATACCCACTGCCACCAGTAGATGGGATGTTTGTCACTCAAATTGCTTCAGATTTCTCATAACATAACTTGTGGATTAATAAATCCTTTTCAGTTTTTTTTTTACTTTGACATGAACTTGAAATAATATCCAATGAATTTATTTTGATGTGTTCACAGTAAAGTGTCAATTAAAGTATCTGGACTTAAAAAGGTTATAACTTAAACTTTTAAGATGACCGCTCATAGATTTGGAAAACATCTTTCAAACAGATGTATCAAAGAGATGTTTGTGGATAAAGCCAAAAGAGAATACATTTTTGGCAGAATTTTACAAGACCAGATCAGCCTCTGATTTGATCTTTCTACTGTGACGCCAGTTACATAGAAAATAAAACGTCAGCAGTGACAAAGCGGCAGATGAATTCCCGGAGGTGAACCTAAGTAAATGACTTCATTTTAAAAATGAATCATATTTGAAAAATAATCTATAAATAATCAATATTTTTTTTTCTACAAATTGAACTTGGGAAAAAAATGTATCGTCTGGTATCACATTCAATTGGTCTATATGAAAGTAATCACTTAAATTCTACTATGTGTGTAAAAAAAAAAAAAAAAAAAAATTAATTAAATGTGGACATCTGAAAATATGTAACAAACTAGCATAGCTCATACCGTCGTTAAACAAATAGAACAAGCCACTAATGTATGAAGCGGTTATCTTAATGGACAGAAGAGGTATTTAGATAAAATTAAAAACATTAATATTTCTTCTGTTTGTTCAAATGTTTGGCCTTCTGTCACACTTTTGTACCCTTTAGTATGAACAACTCATTTCCATTGTTTAATCTAATCTTCCATCTTCTAATAATACCTGCAAATTTCTAGGCTTCCTGCATCCTACAACTTGTCAAGTACATCCAAAAGCTCCAACAGAAGGATGTGGAAGTAGCTGAGGAGGTTGGTGCATTGTTTGCCGGAGAACTCAACCCTGTTGCCCCAAAAGCACAGAAGAAAGTGCCTGTTCCTGAAGGGTCAGTGTCCATCTTTCATAAGCTCTCAGTCATTGGTGGATGTGTAAAACGGTATACTTCTTTTGCAGCCTGGACCTGGATGCCTGGATAAATGAACCTCCCTCTGAGAGCGAGTCTGAAGATGAGCAGCCCAAGGCTATTTTTACCAAGGAAGAACCCAAACACTCTCGACCTCGCCACACAGAGGTGGACGAGAAGGAGCTGGCAAGGGTACGCGGTCAATGATTACTCTCCCCTTTGTTGTTGTATGAATAAGTTCTGGTGTCTGGAAATAAATTCATCTGACTTTTAAATTATTCATGTGAATAGGTCGTCTCTAGAGCCTGAAAGTGATTCATGCGTCTTTCTCTTTTCTTTCCTAGAGGAGAGAAGTGAGAAAGCAAGAGCAAGCCAATAATCCATTTTACATCAAGGCCTCTCCATCTTCTCAAAAGGTTCAAATCCTTATATGTTTTTCACTCGATACTAAGCACTGATGCATTTTTATTATTATACAAGTTTTAACGCTTTTTGAATAAAATGGCTTATTGATTATTTCATTATTTGTAAGGTGTATCAAGAGGCCCTGGGAGTGGAGCACATTCCAGTTGTTCAGATCGATCTTAGTGTGCCTCTCAAAGTTCCAGGTGAGACACTCTGCTTCCTGACGTATCCCCACAATATAAAATTAAATTAATATTTAAACTATATACAGTTGAAACTCTGAAAATGTAGAATATCATTCAAAGTCAATTTTCTTCTGTTATTCAAGTTAAAATGTGAAGCTAATATGAAAGGTTCATTACACACACACAGTGAGAAATAAGGAGCCTTATTATGTCTATAGCTCACAGCTTGTATGAATCAACTCAGAACATTAGAATATTTTAAACTGGCATTTGTTGCTTTGCATGAAATGATGAACTAGATTCACAGTTGAAGTTATTCAGAAATAAACCAGTACAATAGTTGCTTGCCTTATTGTGATGCTATTTTGTTTGTTTTTATCAACAGGTATGCCAATGTCTGAACAGTACTGTAAACTGGAGGAGGAGCGACGGATGAAGGAAAAGGCAGATAAAAAGAAGAAGGAAAAGAAAAAGAGGAAAGAAAAGCGGAGCGGTCGAGGAAAACGGCACGACTCCGGTCCAGAGAGCGAGGAAGACATCACGCCTGCACAACAGGTGGACATCGTGACAGAGGAGATGCCAGAGGTACACAACATCCCCATCCTGCATTCTTACATTGGAGCTCTTAGGCTTTCCAAAACAAGAGGAGCCAAGCACTATATTAGATTTATTACTTTACATCCAGGGAACTGAATTATTATGTTTTGTTTTATTTAACCATGTTAGAATAAGGGCTGTAATCGACTAAGGAAATTCTTAGCCGACCAAAGACAAGCCCAGTCGATCTACCACAACCACTTTGTCGGCTAGAAACTGGTTGTGGCAAAAGCTCTCAAGGAAATGTATGATGTTTCTGACCTAAACTGTATTCACAAGACACACATAACAAGTAGTGATTAAACTTGTAAAAGAAGAGATTGTTCTGGCTTGAATTTCACAGTAAATTCTCCATGTCCATAAATTCTTGTAATCTAGATTCAGTAATTGCATAGCTGGTCTTCTAGGAAACCATCTACCAATTAATCGGTAGATGGATAGTAGGCGATTTCAACTTTTTACATTTGACCATTTCAGAATGCCTTACCCAGTGACGATGATGAGAAGGACCCAAATGACCCTCATAAAGCCCTGGATATCGACCTGGACAAGTGAGTCATGATCATAAATGAGCTTTCTACAGATTAAAAATGACGCTAATATGTAAATGTGTGGTGGCTTCTTTGGCCTCCCTGTGTGCGGTGCCACAGTGGACTGGGTTGGACCCTTGTTTCACCTGCGTTTTCTCACAATCTCACCTGTGCTCCCTCTGTTCTCTGCACACACACCCTCTTACTTCCTCTTTTCTACGGACAGTTTGTCGGAAATGACGGGTCGCAGGTGAGTACTACCCTGGCCTCAGGATGCAGGCTCCGCTCGTCCTCCAGTGGGATTGTAGGAAATGCTCTGTCCCCTCTCTCTCCCTCCTGCTCAGACTCACATTAGCTGCTAGCCCAACTCTTGTACTGCAGCGTGCCTTTCTGCTAAAGTTCTGCTTCCCTTTCTGCCTTTTCGTGAATGTCTTTCTTCCATTTTTTTTAATACCGCTTCTGTTTTCAAACAAGTATAGTTCCCTTCTCTTTTGGCAACACCTTGAGAACACAAAAGAAAATGAGATAAAATGGTTTCATAAAATTGCATCAAAGGCCGGGAATAAAACAATGTCACTATTGGTTTCATATAGAGAAATATGAAGCAAATCAGGAGCGGCAGGTCAGATCTGTGCCGATTCCTCTATTTGAATGCCAAAACCGAATTTGAGATTGGACGTCTCAAGATATCAACCATAGTGTCCAATCTTGTTCTAAAATAAACACGGGGATCATGGAGAGATCACAGCAATAAAAAAACACAAAGAAGAAGAATGTTTTTACTGGTTCTTTCTGCATCACACCAAAGGAATTAAATGTGTGCCGTTGTGAATATGATTAATGTGTGGGTAGCCTCTCATTAACTTAATATACATTTACTAGTTTAGTTACAGTTGGCCTCTTTTAAAAACGAATACATTCCAACATCAGAGAATGTTGGAATGTATTAGAATAATTTAGGATAAAAAAAGCAAAAACAAAAAAGGGTTATGAATAGTATATATATATATATATATATATATATATATATATAGGACAAGATCACATTTGACATGCTAAGCCAAAGCGTGTCTGGATTATTCCTTTCCCGTTACGTTGTAGTTGAGCCAATGCCCAACTGGGTCCGGAGTCCCTGAGGGCAAACAAAATCATTAAATTCAGTGAAGTTGATAACTTTTCCCGGAATGGCTTAACTTAGATTGAATGCATCTGCACTCCTCTAAACATGTATTTAATATAGTTGTAATGCTGCATGAAGAATGGTTTTGCCTTTTCTCTTCAGGGTCAAAACATGCATTTTCACATGATTAACATACTAACAAGTTCTCTACGCTCTGTTCTCTTTGTATCGACTGAAGAGTGAGTTTTGTGTATTTTTAGGCCTCTCGCAGACAGTGAAAAGCTGCCTGTCAGGTCGCATCGTGCTGCAGAGTCGTCAAAGAGCCCGGGTGAAGACGGGGAGGCGGAGAGCACGCCACTCGAGCCTAAGAAGAAAAGTGGCAAAGACAAGAAGGAGAAGAAGAAGGATAAAGACAGGGACAGAAAAGTAATGGCCTTTTTTAATTTTTTATACCCACTTAAGCGGGTTAAAACGCTGCTTTGCATGTGTGACACTGGTGTATCCCTGTTCATCACAGAAGAGTAAAGAGGAGAAAAAGAAGAAGAAGCACAAACATGAAGAAAAGGAGGAAGATCTGCTCAGAGGTGAAGCCGAGGCTCCTGCGGCAGAATCTGAGGAGGTCCATGACGCGTCCGCACTGCCCACGAGCGCCGAGCCAGAGGTACGTACAAGGAAACTGGACCCTCAGGAAAAGGAGACGCGAAACTTGAGAGGCTTTCCATTAACGAATCTCTAAAGAAATCTCTCAAAGGATAGGGTTGAGAATTCTCTTGAGTACATTTATTTTGTCTTCTCTTTTTGTATTTATGATTGCAGTGTCTTTCCTCTTTTTGTTTTAAGACACCATTATTATGTTTCTATTTTCTGTGTACACTGCTCTAAAGTTTTCATTGCAAAGAAAGGGGAACAATCTACAGACAATGTACAAACATACTCGAAGAACATTTCGATCATGCTCAAGGACAAAACGTATAAAAGCCTGAAGAAAAGCCTTTTTCAGTCCCAGAGTAGGCCAAATGTTAGCCTGGCCTTCAATCATCATTTCCCTGCATGTAACGAACTTAGTACGAAATGTAATTTGTACTATGGTGTGGCACGACCAGGCTAGCCAAATGTTGGTGTTGCGGCAGATTATTATTTTTAGCTTTGTAAATACAGTTTGTTTGTACCGACAGATTCTTGTTTAACTCATGGACTGCCAACCGTTTTTGATGATCTCACTGATTCTCAAGACCCACAGAATATTATGTGCTATTACTATGTGAAATATGAAACCAGATTCTGAAAGATTGGATTGTCTAATTTGATAAGGGGAAAATAAGTTTGTTTTTAGCTAGTTATGTTCTCCCGAAATCCCCAGTGGAATAGAGGGAAGTTTGACAGAAATCACCAGTCTCAGACAAATATCGTAAATGGCAGTCAATGAGTTAAGTACGAGGAAATGTGTTATCTTTTGCATCCTGAGAGCTAATCGGCTGAGTGAGGGCTGGTACTCTCTTTTTCTCTAGAAATAAGCTGATCTAAAGATATTGCTGAGGTCAGAAATACATGTGAAAACTAGTGGTTAAACCAAACGGAGAGCGTAGAACGAGTTGCATAGATTGTATTAGTGAATCTTTTTGCGCTTTCAAAGTCAGGTACTCCAGCTTTAATGTAATTCTATCATACACATATATTCACTATGTAAATGGCAGCAGGGGTTCAGACCAATATTCAACAGCACTTTTCCACTTTATTGTTTTGAGTATGTCTGTTCTGCTGTTTTGTTATGCATTATAATCTTGTCCACTGTCTTCATGTTGCACTAACTAGTTCTTGTGCTAAACCTCAGGCCCTGGACACATTCGGTCTCATTGCTCTGACTTGAGGCGCTCCTGTATCCTCACTTTGAGCTGACGGAGCTGATTCTTGCCCAAAAAGTATTCATGAAATGGAACAAGTAGTCTGTGTGTTCCTTTTAATGAATAGTGCAAATGCATAACCAGTTTGAGCCTTTCCCTCAACACCTCGCACTCCTCACTTGCTTTTCCAGGTTTCGGATCTGGATTTCTGGCTCTCAAATGCTCCAGTGCCCTCTCACACCCAGGTTGAGACACATCCCTTCTTCTTTTTATAAACACATTTGTCCTCCTTGATTCATGTGCTTATCTGTCTGATCAGTGTTGGGTACTGAACACGTACGTTGTGTGTCTGCACTAGGGCTGCACAATATCTGATTGGGATATTTCTGTCGTTTCTGTCAATTTTCAATATCTTTTTGACAGTTTCATTTTGAGTAAAAATACTAAAGAGTTCCATTTGTAAAAGCGCACATATGAAGTGACCCCCTCATACACATGTCCCACACATTTCAGTAAATAATTATGTTTACACTTAGAAAATAGATTAACTGTAAAAATGTTTGCTGTGAAACCCATTTTGACAAATGTATATATAAATATATACCATTAGGATATCTGCCCAACAATAAGTCAAAAGACACTTGTTTTAATTGGCAAATCAAGTGATTCATGTGATCACTGCAACCACGTAAATTGCAATTTTGTTTCGATCCCAATGAATTGTCCAGCCCTAGTCTGCAGTTATGCATTTAGCTTGACACAGCTCTTTTTACAGGTCACTTAAAGCTTTCCCTGTCACTATTTAATGCATGCCTATGTGGATGGATCATTTCTCACTCATTGTTGCTCATTTGCTCGCTGTTGGGGTTGTCTGTGTTCTGTAACAAGTATGATATAAGAATAGATGAGTAAATTGTATCATTCATGTCTATTATTTCTGCTTCTGGTTGTCATGACTATTGTATTTTTTGTGTGTCGTGGTTCTCATTTTCCCAACGCATCCAATCTTAGTTTTATTTTTTTCCTACTTTTTAAAAACTCAAATACTACTTTTCTTTTTTTGCTTAAATTGATTCAAATTAATCAAACTAATCTTTCGCCCTACATATATGGATTTTTATTCAGGCATCTATAATCGCAATCTCTAAAAGTCAAAATCTTTAGACATTTGTCCCAGTTTGAACATTGTCCCTGTTAAATAAACAAACAAAAACCGTAACATTCCAATTATGATTCATCTTGGTCATTTGGTTTTCTTTGCTCCATTGTTGATTGGACGCCACACAGTTGTAGAAGTGCACTCAGCTTTCTCTCTAAGATTATTTGTGTGAATTTGTATGTTTTGAAGGAAGCCAAGTCCGTAGCAGAAGTGTCCCCTGTGGCTGAGGCTGCCCCCGGTCCAGCCCCAGACTCCGATGAACCCAAAGAGACTGAACCTGGGGAACCTGTAAGTTTCTGTATTCGTCTTTGAAAAGAGGTAGACAGGGAACTCATTATTTAAAGAAAAAAACCTGTACTCGAGATTCACTTTTTTTATGCAGCTTTTTGCTTCAAAACAAAAAACAACATGCCAGATGGTTTAGGTTAAAAAGATTTCAGCCTTCACACAATGTATACTTGATGGAAAAGTGTGAAATGTAGCCTGTAAAAGGAAAATGAAAGCATTTTTGGAATCTAAAATGGAAAGTGAACGTCTTTACTCATAAAGTAAAGGTGCAGTAAAGGATTTTTGTTAGATTAGCCGTAGCATTTTACACATCACAAACCAACATCAATGACACATATAGATATACAGGCAGACCTACAGGTACAGGCCGACCTACAGGTACAGGCCGACCTACAGGTACAGGCCGACCTACAGGTACAGGCCGACCTACAGGTACAGGCCGACCTACAGGTACAGGCAGAAGGTACAGGCCGACCTACAGGTACAGGCCGACCTACAGGTACAGGCCGACCTACAGGTACAGGCAGACCTACAGGTACAGGCAGGCCTACAGGTACAGGCAGGCAGACCTACAGGTACAGGCAGGCAGACCTACAGGTACAGGCAGACCTATAGGTACAGGCAGACCTACAGGTACAGGCAGGCAGACCTACAGGTACAGGCAGGCAGACCTACAGGTACAGGCAGGCAGACCTACAGGTACAGGCAGGCAGACCTACAGGTACAGGCAGACCTACAGATATACAGGCAGACCTACAGATATACAGGCAGACCTACAGATATACAGGCAGACCTACAGATATACAGGCAGACCTACAGATATACAGGCAGACCTACAGATATACAGGCAGACCTACAGGTACAGGTACAGGCAGACCTCCAGGTACAGGCAGACCTACAGGTACAGGTACAGGCAGACCTACAGGTACAGGCAGACCTACAGGTACAGGCAGACCTACAGGTACAGGCAGACCTACAGGTAGACGTACAGTTAGCAGTGATTACAGATGACTCAAAAGACAGGGAAAAAGGAAACATAAATATATGAATAATAACAATTTAATAATCGATAACAAACTAAAATTGTATACATAACTATATATGAATGAATGAATGAATGAATCTGGTCATGTCCGTTCCTATTTGAAAACTTTTGGGGTTTAGGGACATTTCCCCACAGCATTTTAAAAATTGGGTCTGGATAAATCATGGACTGCATCTTTAAGGTTGTCAAAGTTACCAGTTACTTATTTTCTGGATTCATATGAGGAGCCTTTGTGCACATTTTACACAGAGTGGGGATATTTTTCAGGTATTTTCTCCAGGAAACGGTAGTAAATTATTGGAACTTGAAAAATTAGTGTAAATTGTACATTTCTATTAAAAACGTTTAATCAAAACTAATCATTGCATTAATCACTACCTCTCACAAATATTCCGACCATATTTTGTTTCACGTGGACAAGCTCAGGACGCCAACACACACGGCCAGTGCTGCCTCTGATCCACTAAACCTGTGTTTGTCACTGTGCCTGCAGCGGAGCACACATTCACTACCATCATCCATTATCCTGGAATACAGCGACCATTTCAATAATTGTCAAGCATTGAATTATTAACTAAATTATGATTACGCAATCTTGATTATTCAAATCTCTAAAGGGATTTCATCCAATTTAAAAAATGAAAAAAATTCCAGTTTCTCTGTTAATCTCACCCTGCTCTTCCACCAGTGTCGTTCATACATTCTTGATCGTTTTAAAGCGGGAGAAAAAATATTATATTCTGTTTGGAGTGACTTTAAATGATTTGGATGTTTGAAGGTCTTTTCTGAATATGACTGTATATGAGATAAAATTGGTTATCGTTCACAGCCTCAAACTGACCACATTCTTCTGTTTTGAAAAGAAATCTTCCAAACAAAAGAAAAAGAAGCAGAAAAAGGAAAAGGAAGACAAGGATAAGAAAAAGAAAAAGAAACACCACCATCATCATCACCGCGATGCAGCAGCCGATGAGTCCGTGCAGAACGGGACAGTGGAGGAGGAAGAGGAGGAGGAGCCTCTGCCGGTGAGACCCCGCCCTCATCATAGACCCTAACGTTTGAGAACCACTGCTCTACAATGTTCCTATGATGAACTATCCCACACATTTAAAGATGTTTCTGGCCGTCTCTGCTCCAAATTACACCCCTGCTCCCTGCTAAACTGAGTTAAGGGCCAGGTACTTTTAAAACACAGTTTGACTTGCCCTTATGTCTTGTCTCAGTGTTGGCCAAAGACTAAATAAGAGTGGATCTTATTTGGAGAAAATCATTTTAACACCTCACCTCAAATAAGAATAAACTAAATGAATCTATGGACAATGTGGCATTTCAGACATGTTTCCTGCATTGTATAGTATTATATTGTACAAGACAAAGCAGCTTTTTAAACATCCTTATCTTGTCTGTCCTGCTTTCAGCCCATGTCTAACTACAACCTGCTGGCTGAGAACTCCTACATTAAGATGGTGAGTGCCACTGTGATCATTTTGCTTTTCATTCATAGCGTGATATTATTTTGCAATATTTAATGTTAAGAAATCATTGTTATAAGAGCAAAGCCACGCTTACGTGTTAAACTGTTCATAATTTATAATTAAATGAATGAATAATTAGAGAAACCTTTTCCTTTTAAGATGATGGAAGATGCTGATGAGGTAGTTGTCTTCATCATTTTAGTGTGATTTTCTTTTTGCCTTTTTCTACCCCCAAGTATTCAGTGACAAATGAATTGTCACTGAGTATTTTCCATATTTTTTAGAAGGTGTCCAAAACAAAGTGTGTGAGTGGGTGGGGGGAGGGTGGAATCTTTTGCTTCATCCAAATCTTTTTCAAAATTCTGGTTATTCAGTTTTTCTGTTGCACAGGTTTTGAAATTAACATTTTGATTTATATGAAGTCTTAGTTGGGTAAATATATAAAATATATACATTTTTCCCTGCAATATAATTTAAATTTCAAAATATTTTTTGTATAACAAATTTCTTGACCCAACACCATGTGTGTGGAGCTTATGTGTATAGTACAATAAATATTTAAAGAAATGTTGGATTTAAAAAAGACTATGGTATGCTTTTTATTATTACAGGAGAGTAGCATTGTACCCGGTTTTAGCAGGAGTGCTAACTTTCATTCTTCACTTTCTCATTCTTCACTTTCTCTCCATGGCATAGGTTCGTTTTCATGTCTACTTTCAATGTTGCATTGTTTATAGATTTGTTTTAACCAAAATTCCTTTTGTGGCATTTTGTGAACATATGCTGTAGTGTTGCTCAAATTAATATTCAACAAATCTTGACATACAAAAAAATAAATACTTTTCATGGATACTTTCATGAAAATAAATATTTGCTCTACCAGCTTTTCTTATAACTTTTAGTGCGCTGTTCTGGACACCTCATAGAAATTATCTATGGTGAAAAAAATACTATTCTTTTTCCATTTTTGGGCCCAAAATCGGGAAACTTTCATGGACTCTGGTTGTGTTTCTTGCTCTTGACGGGTTGCGTGTGCAGTGGTCATGAATACAGATATCAGATCCACCAAAAAGCATGTTCTCAATCACAGAATGAAACTCACTCGCTGGTGTTTTTACTTTTTAGGTCTATGACATTCAAGGAAACTTGCAAGATGGGAGTCAGGTTGTAGTGTCGGTAATATTTGAAAACAAGTGTGAAAGCTTTTTAAAGTCTATGGAGTTCAATGTTCTGGACTCGCTCAACTCCAAACTCCAGCGGCCTGAAGGCTCCGGTCCACACGATGGTCTGGTAGTTCCATTCCAGCTCCCACCTGGTCAGTTCAGATGAATACACACTGTACATACATGTCCAGGTTTACAGAATAATAATGTGGTTTTTTTTCATTAGGAATTTCAAATGAAGCACGTTTTGTCTTTACGGTGCAAAGCATTGTAATGCCTCAGAAATTGAAGGGAACCCTCACTTTTATTATTAAGGTCAGTAAGTAAAAGTTAAAGCCTATTTTAGTCACTTATCACTTCTATTATAACATTTTGTATCAATAACAACCTTTTTAGGCTCTTTTAGAATTGCATAATGAACTCTGGAAAAGCTTGACCCCACATATATTCTAATATTCTGAGTTTCACTTGTATAATGTATAACCCAGGGGTGTCTCACTATAAAGCAGGCAGAAGCATGTCAGTCTTTTTTTCTTTAGGTTTTCAACAAAGACATTTTGGAATGGAACTAATTGTTGAATGTAATCTTTATTGTGGCGTTTCAGAATGAGGAGTCCTCCACTCATGAAAAACTGGACTTTAAACTGCACTTTACCTGCACCTCATATCTAATCACTACTCCTTGCTACAGGTTGGATTTAGTAACTTACATCCTCCATATTTACTTTTATTTTTGACTACTTATTTGTATAATGTTTTTAAATAGTGATGCATTTGCAAAGCTTTTGGAGTCCGGTGACCTTAAAAGCAGCTCTCTCAGACTGGAGAGTGTCAACATGCCCTTTCATCATCTACTAGCCAGGATCTGCTTCCATCATCACTTTTCTGGTATGAAGTATTTATTAGATTACAGAACCATACATAATGATGTATAACTCATTACATTGTGTTTTTTGTGTTGAAGTGGTGGAAAGGATTGACTCCTGTGCCTCCATGTACAGCCGGTCTATCCAGGGTCACCATGTTTGTCTGCTAGTTAAATGTGTAAGTGATCCTGGTCTAAATGTGAGTACAGTGAGGGGGGCATCAGATTAAACATATGCTGTTCTTTTTGTAGTCTGGTCAGATTGTATCCATTGATGCTAAATGTGATGAGCCGACGCTGCTTGGGAATGTTCTGGACGAGATCAAACTGACCTTCTCTCAGTGCTGATCGTGTCTACTCCTGACCTCCTCACATGTCCTGCCATCTCTGGTTAAAGCAACAGAATCATGATCAACACAGCAGCTGGCAGTATTTCTTTATCCCCACCGCTTTGTTTCTTTGGGCCTTGTTGCGGCTCGAGAGCCCCAGTCACTGTCTTTCTGCACACTGAGCCCGATGTCACGGCTCACTGTAACTCTGCACTTTCATTTTTGAACTGTCTCTGCTGTTTACCCCACTCCGACCTGGTCTCAGGATGTGTGACACCCCTCTCCTGTCCTGTGTACCTTCCTTACAGCAGATCAGTCTGCGACTGTCATGTAACGTGGACAACTGAACTTATGCTGTCGATGGTTAAATTGTGTTTTTACATGTTTTTGTTTCTGTTCTGTCTTTATTCAGACCTACGCCTTTGTCCTCCTTTTGCCTCACATCCTTTTACCCCTAAATCTATTCTGTTTGCCTGAAAACCCAAAATGCCGTTCATATAAAATCGGTACTCAAACTTCACCAGAGCTGTTGTCAAGTGCATATCAAAGCAAAGATGAACCAAAGTTCAGAATTTATGTGGGACAAAAAGATAAAAGCTTGTTTAGACACACCAGACTTGATGGACCACCCTTTACACTTGTTATTTCTTTGGCCTTCTGTATTGCTTATTTTTGCATCCAGAAATGTCCTTTCCCATTGCAGCACAGTACAGTTTTGTAGCTGTAGATACTGAACTAAAATGGACTGTCCCCACGTATTTTAATCCATTCAACTGTTAAATGTAAATAAGGACCCTCTTGTTCTGAAACAAACTCAGTACATGTGTATGTAAGGCTCACTTAATATAAGCTCTGGAAATTAAACAACTTTCACCATTTCATTCCATCGCTGGTAAAATTCATACAGTGCATGATTTGAATGTTTTACATTTTTTCAATGTATTATTTAAAAATGCAATCATCATTCCATTTAGTAATTATCCTATTCTTTTTTACATTAACTTGTTTTTATTCATTCTGAGTTCAGTTGATTATAAAATATATAATTTGATGTTTAAATTATTAAACGTTGGAAGGAGTAATTGAAATGGGGTATTTGGGAGATATTGATATGCCCATTGAAGCAGGTCAAAGGATGCAGCGTACTGAGGCACACACCTGTCTTACTGATAGATTATTGGTTCAGTTGTAGTGAATTATTTGACCCAAGTTTGGCTTGTGACAATGAAATATACTCTTTAAAAAACTGCCTTGTTTTTATTTTGTGCACGATATACACATCTGTTAAAAAATGTTCGTTGGACAATCGAAAACATTTACCCTTCTTATAATTCTTATAAAAGCACGAGGATGCATTCGCCATTCCTCATCACAGACTAAAGACTTTCGAGAATAATAATCGTTACCCAGAATTTGCGGTCGTTTCAGAACTCAGAACGAACGGATCACATAACGTGGTTCAGGCTCAGCAGCAAAAAAAAATGTTACTTGTTAGTCTCGTCATAGGTGAGGGAAGTTATTGTTTCCTGACCTTCAAAATAAAACTTATGATAGTCTTCATTTCGATGCATTGATTCTATTTATATTTTCTAAGTTGAATCGAGTAGAATATATCTCCAAACAACACGGTATCGCTGTCTTACTCCTAATGTGAGGCTAAGTTTAATACAGAGACGAGTGGGAATCATTCTTTGATTATAAATAGCCTGAACCGGAAGTGTGTCTCACTGCCGGAAACTTGACACCATCGGAGGTCGTCGATAACTGGAGCTCACCGGATCGTTCACAACAACAGGCAGAAGAGCACGTCTCCTCCGAGCAGCGAAAGAGCCGTGTGTTTGAGCTTGTGTTTGGGCCTTCCGTGAGCAGAGAGGTGCTGTTTGGACCGGGCTCATTCTGTTCTGCTGGTGCCCTGAGATCTAGACCCGAGCGCTGGGACTATGGCTCAACATGGACATCAACACCATCATGTAGCCAGTTCCCAAAAAGCTCTCATGCTGGAGATGAAAAGTCTGCAGGACGAGCCCGTGGAAGGCTTCAAAGTTACTTTAGTGGACGAGTCGGACATGTACAACTGGGAAGTGGCCATTTTCGGACCCCCAAACACGCACTACGAGGGTGGTTATTTTAAGGTGAGTGGCTAATGTTAGCTAGCAGCATTTCTATTGTTCTGAAGCTGAAAAGTGGAACTCCTTTGCTCCATCTTCAGAGATCTGTGGAAAAACACTTCTTATCAGCCACTAAAACTGACAGGACAAACTGGCTTTGTGTAATTTTAACGAAAGTAATACGTGTCGTGTTTTATCATAGCTGCTTTGTGTGAAACTGTTTATGGTGAGTTGGGCGATCTTGCTCATGCTTTTATTTTATTTTTTATATATTTATTTATTTTTACGTTTTTTTCCACCTGGTTCTTCTCAATAATTCGTATTATCTGATAACTTTTTATTTTTAATTTGTATGTTTTTTTACATTTTTTCCCACCTGGTTATTTACTCCTCAATAATTTGTATTATCTGATTATTTTTTGTTGTGTTTTTATTTATTTTTACGATTTTTTTCCCACCTGGTTCTTTACTTCTCAATAATTCGCATTATCTGATAACTGTTTTTTTTTTTTGCTCATGCTTTTTGCACCTAATACACCCCGTGGTTTCCTCTGAAAAGTCAAGGTTGTTCAGTTTTTCTATTTGGGCTGTTATTTTTAGCGAGTCTAATGCCTTAGCTCAGTGGGTTAAAGCAAGATCCACCACAAAGCTGCTGTTTTCAAGACTTCCTTATCCACTATCTTGTGAACAAAACGTGTTACCTTTTATTGTTTACGAACAAGCTTTTTTTCATTTTATCCAGTCAGGGTTGCAGTGAGGTTTTATACATTTATTAGGTTGAATCGCACTTGTGTAATGTTATGGCATGAGCTTTTCGTTAGTGTATCTTGTGCTCTTGACACATCTCGTGTATCAGATGTTGAAACAAAACAGAGATGGTACACAGGGTAATATTGTTGAGTAATGCAGTTCGGTGTTTCCTAAAGCTATTTTATTGTGTATTCATTTTTTTTTTTATTGTACGTCATACTACAGTGACATTCATGATGAATGGTTATTCTATTCTAAATATTGCTTAATCCTGCTGCTTTTCAAACCTGTATTAGTGAACAGATATGTGAAATTGTGATCTGCAGGTTGATACATCGGACTAGCTAAATAATTTTTACATATTTCTTCTTCATATTTTCTTCTTTACTTGATCCATATGAAGTTTCTAACATGAAGGCTTCCCTTAGCTTTGCACATGTTGCTTCTGTGAGGCTGCTGTGTACAGAATTCCTTTGTGTGGACAGGAATGCTCTGGCTGGCTGTGAAATCTAGCGCTCTGCTGTAGTGTATTGTTCTGTGCTCGGTTTCTATCCAACCAGTTTTCATTATTATTCAAAGTAACGCCCTATCTGTCCCAGAGAGACAAACAAAGTGCCATGACACACAGCAGCTGCCTGTACTGGCTGTGACGTCAAATGACACTTGGCTGAGTCAGGCTTTCTGTGCCCGCTTCGAACTACGTCAATGAGTAAAAAGTCGTTTAACTTCTGCTACTGCTCCCCATCATGGACTCTTCATCTGGGGTGTTTTGGCCACTTGTCAGTGTTCTCGCTACTCTTTACCAAGTGTCCAGTTGTCACTTTATGTGTGTGGTTTCACCAGAATTGGAACGTTTGTTTTTGCCACAATTATGTAGTATAAGTACTAAAAATAATTACATTAAGACAAAATTTTCCATATATCAGAAGAACCATATAAACCATTAAAAAGTATGATGAAAATGACCATAAATTGTAAATAATTGCAGTGGAGGCAATTGTTTAAACTTGAGTTTGAAGTTTAGTAGACCTGTTTTTTCCACCCATTTCAGTAATTTGCTGCCTGCTCTACCAGCACTAATATTAGTGTAATTTGTCAAAATATGATAACTGCCTTCTTTTGAAAGTTTGTGACCAAACATGTTGGGGCAAGAACCTCTCTAACATCTCTTGAAACTAGGTCACTCTCCTTTCATTGTGGGGAATCCGTACAAAACTATTGAACGACATGTTGTGCTGCTACTGTTCTCTTGCTATAGTGTACAGTACTTAATGACATGTTTTTGATCTAGTTATTGTTTTATGTACTTCAGGGCTGATTGGGATACACTCTGTGCTGCGAGGTCAGGTGGTTGCCTTTCACACACGTGTCTGAGGCTGACGTATTGCAGGCAGCTGTTATTAGTTGTAGCATAGCGCTGGAATCCACTGTCATTTCTACCATCCCTCTCGCAAATTTTTTTCAGATGATAAACTCTGGAAGTGTCTCAAGTGTTTCAATTGATGTAGACTTATGGCTGCTTATTGCTAATAAGTTTGTTTTTTGGTTTCTTTCTGACACACTAGCCTTGTGAAATGGCTTCAGACTAACTGGCTTGCTGCCTATACTTCATTTATTAGATTAATTCTGAGAAATTTGACTCAGGTTACACAGGTTTCTTCTGGTCTTTAAGTAGAACTTTAATTTAGGCCCAGTTTAGAGGAAGACTCTGCAACAATAAAACGTTAGAGTTGGGTATCGGTTTGGCCTCCTTACATGGCGACGGTGTTTCAGGGAAGTTAAAAAGCAAGCTTTGAGAAACATCCTCCAGACTGGAACAGAAAAAGAAAAAGGTGTGAATTTTCCGTACATTTGGACATGCGCAGTAGCTGAGAACAAACGTAAACAACAATGGCAGCGGGTACACTAATTAGCCACGCAAAGCTGTAGTTTCAGTTTATATTTCCGCTGCTGCTGTTTAATGCAGAATGATGTTGGTGCATTCTTTCACATCTTTGTGGTGTCCTGAGGAGGATGTTGTTGAGAAAGTGAAATGGTGAATACTGCCGGGGGCATGGCTGGGGGTTGTGTTGTGTCGTGTTGTAAAGTTCCACTGCCCACTACTGGCCGGGTGCTAGAACTACATTCCTGTGGACTTCCAATAGGGAGCCTGGTCGTTTTTGCCGATTGCTTTGCAGCGTCTCTGCAGTGTCTCTGCATCGTTTATCAGTCTGGACTTGTGGTGAATGACAGACTTTGACCTTTTTCCGACGCAAGTGCATGTGTGCTATCGTTGCCTTGGCTGCTGCAGAGAGGAGGTTTACATAGCAGCAGATCTAACCCAGTTGCACAGGGTTGGGCTGGGTCGTACGCTTTGGGGCCTCTGCCGGAGTCATGTTTCCCCCCTCTGGCTGTGTCACAAGGAAACCAGAGCTGGACAGGGAAAAGAGGAACATGCACTCTGAGATCATGATAAGATAAAGGAGTGTGTGAGAGTCAAGCTTTTTTCTTCACTTTGGCTGAGAGAGACTTCTGCTCCTGATCACGCCTTAATAACAGCCTTTTGAATCTACTAAGTGGAACTTTTTACAGCGTACTGAGCCGATAGGATTGGTACTTTTAACTAGGGTGCTTTCCTCAGCTGTCCTGGTGTTGATCATAGCATTGTACGTCTATGGTACTGTATATAAAGTCTAACCCCCCTAGCTCCATGAAGCCTAATAGGGAAGTGCTCATGGACAACATTTTGCTCCAAGTTTGTCACACTCTTCATTTTGGGCTTAAAATCCAAAGTTTTGTGGCCTTTAATATTCTTGTGTTCTTCATTTAGATATTGTCTTTTGTAAATTCAGATATGAGCCAAATTATTTCATTTTTGCAGGCATCGCAAAGTTTCAAACTCCAGCGTCACTTTGGGACTATGTTAGCAACACGTTTTGTTTGCAGCTGCGGGGCGCAGAGCTAACGGGAAAGTGGCTACAGCTAGCTTATGTTCAAAATGGCTTCTTCCACATCTGGCTGACATCAGCACTCTCGGTCCACTCCTAATGCACTGTCTATGATGGTGACCCGCTTTGTGTGAAGTGGTGTGATACCTGCTTCTTGCGATAAATGTTATTGCTTTTCTCCAATGGATTTTGAAACTTTTACGTTCCTCAATTATGAATCATTTAAGTCCACAGATGTAACTGAATATTGATTCTATAGCATTGTATTTGTATTTTATTTATTTATTTAAACATGTTATCTTCACATGAATTCTGAACACATGTTTGAAAAGGAGTGGGTGAAAGTAAAAACTCATTCACCCTTTTGTACAAAATATTGTTTTGCTTTAGTTGTGTGTTCCACATTCCTTTTGTTTTTACCAAAATCATTTTACATACGCTCGCATTATACAAGCATTTTTATTTCTTTTTTTTGACTTTTTTTTTTCATTCACTTTCAAATAATTGTTTTTGAACTCTAAAATGACATGGCATACTTGTCATTTGTCACCACTACTAAGCTTTTGATTCAAATTAAAAAAATATCCACATAACAATAAACACCAATTATGCAATATTGCCTATTAACACACATTTATTAGTTTAAACGGTACTCTGGTCACATTCTTTCACTTTTATACACATCCTCCATTGTTTTGTTGCAAGTTATTTTTCTATATTTAAATTGACCCTAACCCTACCTTTTACCCTAAAAAGTAATTCTTTTCTTTATATCTTTCTGAACAAGATAAGATAGTTGTGAGCCAAAAATGGACCAAAGGTTAAAAAAAGGGCTTAGGATTACAGGCTGAGGTCAGATGTAAACTTTAAAGTTCAATGTTTTAGACTAAAATGAATGAGTGTTTGTTTGTATTTTTTGTATTTGCATTAAAATGAAATGACGTGTAGGGCCTAGACTAGTATAACATGCTGGTACAATGTTAGCCATATATGATCAAAAGCTGCAACTTCAGTTGATAGTAAGAATCTTAATCATATCAGGGTCATCACTCATATCCTGTGGGCTGATTATTTTTTTATTTTTTATGTTGTTTCCTGGAGATTATTTATTTAAATTCTATTGCACTCCATTTTCAAACATGGACTGAGGGGATGGCCACAGATTGATGAGAATTGTTTAAGTGTTTGAGACGTAATTTTGAAATAGTTTCAATCTACTATGTATGTGTCAGTTTAACAGGTATAGTGAGGGCTAAGAACAGTGATCTGAGGTTTGAACACCTGTCCTAAAACTTTATAAACATTAAAGTTTGCATTTTGTTATGATTGGCAGTATAGTCTCGTATTTAAAGAGATAAACTGTACGTTTCAGCTTTAGTCTTTTTTATCTAAACAGTGACGCATGTTTGGACATGCAGCTCTGACCCCATGATGGTCACCTCACATGTCTGAACTGATACCAGGGCCTGATTTTCAACGGTTTCATTTGAGTTTCTGTTCTGTGGGTTTCATGTTGTCCTCAGAGTACAGGGACTGAACACAAAGATAGAAAAGGTCATATAAATCTTGTTGTGTGTTTTTAGAACTGTTATGTAGTGGTTAGTGTTATGTGACTTGTAATTTGATTGATTATTGGTCCTTAAATAGTCTGGTCGTACCACACCATAGTACAAATTACATTTCGTACTAAGGTCTGGAGGTGCTCCATTGACTCCGTTAACAGGTGGGAGGGGTTAACTCCTTTTGCAGATTGAAACGATTGGATCTGAGTTTACTGTGACGTACTGTATGTGATGCGCCCGAGTGAGTCGTTAGCATTTAGCATTTAGCCTAGTTAGCCTTTGCCGCTAACGGAGCCCGTGGGGAGTAGCGCCACAATTTATTCTAGCGAAACATTCCTATTGTTCCAGCTTCAATTTCTTGATAGAACCACAAGGATTACTTTACTATCGCATTTTTCGCCATTGTCAAACTACGACCTTCCCGTACCGACGCAAACTCTTCGTCACCAACAACTAACTACAACACCCTCCTTCCGTGCTCGCTGGTTGGTCGGTCGAAATTCAACCGATTGTAATCGCTAACCCAGGGACCAGACCCAGACGTTACATGCAGTAACGTTTCCACTTTTGAGCGGAGTGTACGGATGGATAAGGCCAGGCTAGTCCTTAAATAAATAAAAGGGATAATTAGTTTGTTGTTACTGATTGTTGTGAGGCCTATGTTTGCACTTGTTCAGTTTCTCCCAGGAACAATGTGCTCGGGTCAGAGTGGTTTCACAAGAGTCGGCCCTAAGCAAAAGGCCTGATTTGAAAACTGCATTTTGTTCAAAAGACCTAACATAAGTGGTGTATCTACTACAGGGGTGCTCACACTTTTTCAGCATGCGAGCTACTTATAAAAGGATCAAGTCAAAATGATCTACCTACTACAAAAATGCAAATCATATATTTATTTCAAAAAATATTCTTTATACCTACAATGTATGTTTATGTACATGCAAAACCGCATGAGCCAATATAGCACAACAAAACACAATTACCTATGTACATTTTTTGTCATTACCCGAGTTTACTCTGATGACTTGCACTGAATTGAATCGGCCAGGGATGCATAGTCCGGAAAATTGGTGGTAACTCGCTGACAAGTTTGTCGTGGTTTAGCTTTCCTGCACTGAGCGCGGTTGTTTGCGCATGTGCAGTCACCTAAGTGTCAGTAAAACATTACTGAGTAAAACACAGATGTCATTTGACTGTGGTGCCATGTCCATGTGCCATGCCTGTTTTTTTTAAATCCAAATATTTCCCCTCCTCAGTTTATAAAATAATTTGCATCCACACATCTGCGTTATCAATCACATTCGTAACATTCCAAACATGTGCGTCTCTTACGTCCTGTCCTGCGTTGGGGAAAAACACAGAAGTGGGCGGAGCTTTGATGCAGACACCGGTAACGGCACTTTTACAGTCATAGAAGACACTCAGAATAAAGATGTATGTTTACAAGCACTGACCCCGTCCTCAGCCCTGATTTAGCCCTGGTTTAGTCCTGGTTTAGTCCTGGTTTAGTCCTGGTTTAGTCCTGGTTTGGTTGTTTTCGAGCGTGAGTCCCCGCGATCACTTTGCTGCTCTCTGATGTGGAGCGAGGATGTTTGCTGCTGCGAGCATCTCACAGCGAACAGTTTTTAAGGTAGTATGATCCATGCTTCAGTGATCAGAGGGATTTAGGGGGGTACTGTGGCGCAAAACTCCGGTTATCTCTGTCTACACACAAATGCATTAACGGAGTTTTCAAAAATCTCCACTTTGCCCGGAGTTTTTTGTATATATTTGTTTAGAATGTGTATTTATTTATTTAATGCGATCTACCAATACTACCTTTGCGATCGACTGGTAGATCGCGATCGACGTATTGAGCACCCCTGATCTACTACATAGGATTTGTGCTCAAAGTAGTTCACTGTACGTCTTTTCTGCCTGACAACAGTTAAAATCATGAGAGACGTCAACACAGTGAGAAGAACCACTACAATGTCATGATGATTCTTAGGTTCTGTGAGCGACCGGTCATGTCTTTAGTCAACCAAGAAATTGGATGCCAAAATCTATCTTTTGGTATATACGGTAAATTGTATAATCCTATTTTCTCTGTACTTTTTAAAACATATTTTTGCCGTTTTACTTATAGAAATATAATTTTTAGTATCAGCCCACTAATGTTAAATATTTTTTAACTCAAACGCTATTGATATTTGTGAATAATCTAGACAAAAAAAGAGAAATACTTAAATTAGAGGTGTCTCACATAAGAGATATGGCTGCTTGCAGTAGATCTACTTTATACAAATCCTCCTCTGACATTAAAACACAAAGTCTTTTTAGTTCTGCCCATAGACTAATAGGGCAATGAAAGAGGATCCACTTATTTATTTAGGCAAGGCAAGTTTATTTATATAGCACAATTCATACACAAGGCAATTCAAAGTGCTGAACAAAACAAAGCATTAAAATCATAAATAATCACAGAACATTAAAAAGAAAGATAAAATATAAAATCCCTCAGTTGTATGCACAGCTAAACAGAACTGTCTTTAACCTGGTTTTAAACATTGTCAGAGAGGAGGCCTGTCTCACATCTTCAGGAAGATTGTTCCAGATTTTAGCAGCATGAATCTGAAAAGCAGCCTCCCCATGTTTAGTCCTGACTCTGGGCACTAACAGGAGTCCAGTCCCTGTTAGTGCCCATTTAGCGGCCCTTTCAGCGGCCCTTTCTTCTCCTGTATTAACACTACTGCCCCACTCCCATCGTGTGTTATGGGGGGCTGTGGCGGACACCAGCTGACCGTGTGAGAGGGGGGAGATGGAGGGCACAGGTTCCCCCATGGAGTGACGTACGTGCGTGTAATCAGTGTGCCCAGTGTCTCTTCCACCGAGCAGCTTATGGTGAGGGGGGAGGGGACTCGCACACAGGCCTCATTGTGGAGCTAAGGAACGGGGCGAGGTTTGAGCATGGGGCCACATAATGCTCCGTGCGGTTGCAGAGGAGTGAACTGTGTTGGTCTGTGGCAACGGCTGTAGAGAAGGCCCCCCCCCCCTATCTGCACCTGAGGGCCTCTCCCCACTTGTATTACGATACCCCATTATTGCATTTTTAAAAGACAAACCTGAACAAAATCTGGGTTTGGGTTTTTTGTTGCCATTTCTGGTATTAACTCTTCAGGCACCAAAGAACGATAATTGCGTCATGAGCTTGAGAGTCCAGGAAACTTTCTATACAGGAACCTGGCCTCCCACATGTTTCCCTACATTTTACTTACATCTTTGACAGTTTAACCTTGAAATATGTTGTCATTAGCTCCATAAACTAGTCGTTATTATGAGTAGGGATTTTCCAAGATGTTTTTTTTTTTTTTCAAACTAGTTGATCCCGTATGTGGTTCGTTTTAACATTAGAAGACAATTTTATTATTTAAAAAAATCAGAGATAGCCAAATGTTGTTTGTGACATTGATAATGAGTCTTGTTGTAATATCTAAAGCAAAATGGTAAAAAGTGACTTTCTGTTTGGACAAACAAATATAGTCATGAATCAAAACATGTTCAAAGTGTGAACATGTAAACAACTTCAGACTCGGAATAGATGCCGAACAGGTAAACCTCACGAGTGCGCATACACACAAATGCCATCACGATATATCAGTTTTATATTGTCTGCCACAGGGCATCTGTGCCTGGTAGTTGTACACCACCACTGCACACTGAGTGTATGCCATATACTGTATGCCATATACTGTATGCCATATCTGTTTGCCATGAGCCGGTGAGCATTGCAGCAACACATTGTCAGTAAAACTAACCTGTCCCACCACGGTCTAAAAGCACAGTAATTATGCATTGATTTGATGCAGTAGTGAAGCACAGTTGTGTGGCATCTGTGCACACGTTTTGCACGTACGTGAAATTGTGTTCGCAGCTTTCAAGATTGTAATGGTTTGTCACACTATATTTTTGTACTTCTGTTCAGGCGCGACTCAAGTTTCCTGTTGACTACCCATATTCACCCCCTTCCTTCCGCTTCCTCACCAAAATGTGGCATCCAAACATCTATGAGGTAAACTGCTTTTATCTCTTTTTAGTGCAAACCACACTTCTATCCATTGTTTAAACCTTTTCTACTCCAGTAAGATTGGGGAAGCACCACCTTCTTCAGGGGAAAGCACTTATCAGTAAATGGGTTTGTGATTTATATTGTGTTCTTGTATGTTTTGTCTCTTCAGAATGGAGATGTTTGCATTTCTATTTTACACCCGCCTGTAGACGACCCACAGAGCGGCGAGCTGCCTTCAGAAAGGTGGAATCCAACACAAAATGTCAGGTACGTGTTGGAACAAGACATTTTCCTCTCATTCATATAAAACAGTTGCACACCAAGTTCCAGCCTTTTCTTTCCCTGTTCTCTGCTGTGGGAGACTTGAAGTGCCATTTTTATAGCAAGCCATAAATAAGCTCTAAGCAGTAGACATAACCCTATTGTTCATAATCTGCCTGTGTGTTATGCAGTTGATCTATGTAGCTATACTTTTCCTGCAATGTTCTATAAAGTGTAGTTTTGTATATTGTGTGTTTTGACATATTCTTCAAACTCTTCGAAACATGTCGGGTAATTAAGCAGTACTAGCTTCTTTATTTTTTGTAAGGCCTCCTTAGCCTCACTCGATATACAGTTTAAATATCATTCAAAAGTCCATTTACTTTTGTTATTCAACTTGTATTGTTAAACGATTAAATATCAAATACATTTATTTCTTGGTTGCGTTTCAAGACACTCATGGTTGCTTTACATACTAAGTAAAAAGTACATTTAAAGACCAGTGAAATGTACTTAAAAGCAGTCTAACTCATGTACTAAGCCTTAATTCATTATTATGTTGACAATTATGGGTCAAAATTCACTGAACACAATTGTTTCAAGATTCAATTTATTGTCATTGCCACTGTATAGTTGAAGTGCATAAGCCCCAGGATGTCCATGTTGTTGTGTTTTGGAAGTCCATTTGTTAAAAATGAACCGCAAATTTAACCGACACACAGGGGAAGTGGTGGGCGGGCTTTGATGCTGATGAGTTTGAGCTAGCAGCTTTTTGTGTACTTACTACTTACATAAAGTTTTTCACTAGTGTTGAAAAACTTTATGTAATTACACAATATCTGCACCCCCCTTGGCTAGTCCAAGGGTTGGCTATAGTTCTGGCTGTTTTCAATTGTCCTCTTCCTCCTGCCCTGAACGGCTCGTGTCCCCAGCCTCACCGTGCTGCTCTCTGATTGGTTGGTGCATGCCTGTCCGCCCAAAAAGTATACCAATTTGCGTTTTCGCTGGTTTGACTAATTGCTCGACACCCACATCCCACGGTGCAAAAACGTGCCTGCAGCCCCAGACAAACGCTCATTATTATTATTATTAGTATTTATTATTATTATTATTATATGTGTCACCATTGACTTTGACTGTAAACCTGTCACACTGCTTGGTCCGGTGGGAAGAGGGCTTTTGTCATAATCATTAAAACAATAACAAACCAATGCATGTAATGAGTCTATGTCATGTATTGGTTTCACATTTTATCTTGAATTACAGAAATTTAATGAATTTTGAACATTATTCTTATTTTTCCAAGTTTAACCTGTCATTTCATAGACACAATACACTTTCCAGTCCTGGTCCATGCAAATGCTGCTTGTGTGACCTTCTCCCCCTCCCCCTTCGTCTCCTTGTGCCCTCTTTTCTGTCCGGTGCTTCTACATCTCATTTTACCTCCACCTTTCCGCTCCTTCCCCACCGCTGCTTCCTGGTCTCTACTCCTATGTATTGTTTTCACCTTTGCTCCATTTTAATCTGTGTGTGTGTGTGTTTCCCAGGACCATCCTACTCAGTGTCATCTCTCTACTCAATGAGCCCAACACGTTTTCACCAGCCAACGTCGACGCCTCAGTCATGTACCGCAAGTGGAGGGAGAGCAAAGGCAAGGACAGGGAATACATTGATATCATCAGGTAAATTACACAATGCACAGATTTGATACACGTCATGTGGAAAAGTGATGCCCTAAAATATACAGCAGATGGACCACTTTTAACAAGAAGATCAGGAAATGATAAAAGTTAAAAGGCGTATAGGAGGATTTTTTACCAAATTTAGTAGAATATCCTCTATCTTTTAAATATTTGGGAAGAAATTAAGGAAATGTCTTTGGGAAACTGGGGGGCTGCAGATAATTCCAGGTTGTGAGGACGCTGCTTGTATTTTTACTTTTATTAATAAAACCAAACTTTTTATAAAATGAAATCAGGAGACGATCAGGTGTCTAGGATGTGGAGGAAGGCCCGTCACACACACACAACTCATTGCAACACATCACAACCATGTATAACTCCGCCCTCTAGTGCGCGGCACTATACTGTATACTACGCTAAATGGTTGTTATGGGAAGTCTGGCTTGATATGGGTTCGGGTCTGAGAATTCTGAAAACCTGTCGGGCCGGGCTGGCGCTCCACCCACTCGGGCCAGGCTCGGGCCCAGAAAAGAGGCCTGTGCAGGGCACTAACTCTCCCCCCGCGACCCGGCAACGGATGACGCGAAAGAAAATGGAATGGAATGGATAAAATTGAGTCCATGCTCGACTTCTGCTTAAAAACATGATTTCATCACAAATATCCATGCAAACTTACTTTAATGCAAGACTCAAACTGTAAACGGGTTTGGTCCTCGGCTTGCTGATACTGTATGTGGAGAGTCAAGTGGACATCAGCACCACTGTCCATGTGTGTTTGCCAAGAGTAGATCCAAGCAGAATCCATGTTATTATGAAAGAATGCATGGATTCATCAGTCATTCATTCACAATAGTCACTCTCACATGCTTACTTTTGTCCTTACAGCAAGCAAGTATTATCCACCAAAGCAGACGCGGACCGGGACGGCGTGAAGGTCCCCGTGACGCTGGACGAGTACTGCGTCCGCACTCAGGTCCAGCCCACAGACGACGGCTACAACCTGTTATACGACGACTATTGCGACGACGAGGACTTGGAGGACGATGAGGAGGACGAGGAAAACGAAGACTGTTGCTATGACGACGACTCCGGCAACGAGGACTCCTGACCGCCCCCTGGCCCTGCCCCCTCCCCCACTCTGCCACTCACCCCCCTCTCCCTCGGACTGAACTTTCACACTGGCTCCTCGCTCCCGGTGCAGTCACGGCACTCACTGGGACGACAAGTATTGCAGAAGAGACTACTTTTAACTGTTTTGCTTTCCCCAAACGTCTCCTGACACGCTGCAGACGGTCGCGATGCTGTGCACACTGTTCAGCCACATTCAGAATTCAGAATGTCCGATCGGCGAGGGCTTTTCTACGTCACTGAATGTTACACCAAGTTGGAACAGGTTACTATTTGAAAAGGAAAATGGAAATAACTTTTGTTAATTTGTGCTGATTAGTTTTAACTTTGAAAAGCAAGGTCATGTCCACATTGAAGTCCGGTTCCAGTCTTGGATTCTGACATTTTGGACCCTGGGGCAGTGGTGGGGCATACAGGGGTATTCTTCATTCATTCCCTTGTGCCTTTCAAACATCCAGAACAAATATTAGCTTATCAACGCTCCCCAGTGGAACAATTTGTATTCATTGCAGCAGCTGTCAGAAAGCCAATAGAATAAAACGGTGAAAAAGACTAGATTGAAAAGCAGCCCTAATACAGTTCAATAACATTAAACTGCTAATCTGGTGATCAGTATGCAACTAAGTAATTGTCACAAATATATTATGTCTTGTGTTAAATCTATGAAGCTGTATTAAAATCCATCTATAGAGTCTGCTGCTGTGGACATGGCTACAATATTTGGGTCACCGAAAATGTTTTTTGTTTTTTGCAACACCAGACCACGAGAGTCCTAAAAGATTTCATGCCTTGGTTTTTCACGTTATCGCTAGATCCGGCTGAAGCACGCCCCCTTGTGGTACTAAATGGATTATCCAAGCAATTTGAGTTGAGTCTGGTGGAAACGTTAGATTAATATGAAGAGCAGGGTCCAATGTGGGGGGAATAACTATTAAGAACCGTTTTTAACGCATTCGTGCAGCGTAGCTATAGTGGGCTGCACTCACTGATGCATATAGTTTCAAAATATGTGTGAATATTGTTATTTTTAAGTGCTTTTTGGCCATTAGTAAGAAGCACAGGCTGTGGGTTTGGCATGTTGATGGGGTCTCGATTAGAACACGGATAGTTTTTCACCAGCATTCTTTTGGACAGAGTTTGAAAACGAACATAAAAGTTAGAATGTCTCACATAATTTGTCTAACATGTGGATTGTGACTGGGCTATGGGTTATTTGTTTTTATGCCTCAATGTGTTTTTTTTGATTTTCAAAATGTGTGTACTGCATTATGTCGTACGGTTTTAAAATGAACATCAAACTGCAAATGTATTCCTACACGGCCACACAGGTCTTCTCGGCAAAATGGCAAATATCTTTTAAACGGGAAGGAAGGCACACCTCCTTGATGATTTCCTTTTTCACAATTAAGGAGCTTGGATTAGTGGAAGCTCGTAATAGTTAACGGAAGCATCTCAGGAATACAGCAAAGTAACCAACCATCCATCCGCATCCCGGTGCCCGCTAAAGAACTGTTTACAATATCTACCTGGATACGGTGACGATCATTTGATGTTTTTCCTGTTTATATTTCCTTTTTTCCTATGATTTGTAAATCTATTTAAAATCTGAAATAAAGATCTTTATTAGATATGGATGTGTCATAAGTGCATAAAACAATATTAGAATTGACTTACTAATTGCAGACTGACTCCAGGTTATTCTTGCCATACTGTGGAAATATTAGACTGCATCTTTTATCAGGGATCTGTGCTTTGTTTTGATGCAATGAGGACGTCTGTTCTTACTCTTGATGCTCTGAACAGAAAGAAGGAAAGTTTCATTGGAATTCACTTACCAGACTCTGGAAATGTTTGGAAACTCTTTTTTTCTAGTGTAGAAGGTTAGATGGTCCAAGAAACATAAAAACCATTTATTCCAATTAACTTCTACAACTTTACAAATGTCACTTCCACAAAGCTGGAGCTCATTATGATGATAACTGAACATGTCTGGGTTGGTTTTCTCTGGTCTCACTGCTGCATTGTGTCGACCACTGCCCCTGACTGCAGGCGCTCCTGGCATTACATTATGGGATAGATGCAGAGGGCAAATGACTTGCTTGCCTTGCTTCACAATGAAGGGTCCCTGACATGGGGGTTGGAGACTTTTCTGGTGCGGTGACTAATAAACATGTACAGTGTCCCTCTCGTGTTTAATTTCTCAGGGACAAAAACACAGATTAATGTCAGTGCTTTGAGACTCAGGGTTGTGGCGTGGGTTATCGAGAACCATGCAAATTAAGGGATACTTTATACTATAACATTCAAACTGGATGTTGGTCAAATAATTTGCAATACCTGAAACATAATTGCATTTTAGTATTAGCATTTCGTCATGTTACACTTTAATATACTGTGCATGTGCTTTGTGGTTCATATATTTAAATCAGGTTGTAATTGAGACCAGAGCTCCTTTGACTGGTGCATCAGAGCTTCACGCCTGCAGGGGGCAGTGGTGTGTCACTTTAAACAGCTCAGGCCTGCGCCAAACAAAGTGAAAGCCTCAGGTTACACTGCCTCCCATTGTTTGTGGATGAAGACAAATAAAAACTACTTTTTTGCCTTCAGAAAGTCAATGCTCTTGTTGGCCATACTCAGGCCTTTTGCATTATTATCATTATTATTATTTATCAAATGTATAGTCGCCAGAATATTTCTCTTGAATTTGAATTAGTTCTGGATTAAACAAGAGCTTGAATGGTGAACCTCAGCTGTTTTTGGAGATCTTTCTAATTCCCAATTTGTATTCGATATTTATGTTGATTAGTTATTCATCCACTGATTGATTAATCAAAGCAAATCATGAAATGTGGCTGCAAATGGCAATCAATTCTTATTCAGGAGATCCCAGATTCATAATCCAATGGTTGTAGGCAGAAGCAGAGGCATGTCAGGTGCAAACAGGTGAAGAACAGTGCACCGACTGATGGAGGAAGGGGGATTGGTCCATGTGTCAGACTGTGTCAAGTCTCCAAGGCAACAGAAGTTGGAGGAAGGAGCAAGATGGATAGTAAGAATAGAAGTGGGGTAAAAAGGAAAAGACTTAAAGACGCAGGTTGACTGTCACAGTTATGATTGAGTGCTGTAAGTGTCCGCACACACAGAACTGGATGTGAGTGAACCAGCCGCAACACACTGTGCACTCGATGGATGCACCCTGCTGTGCTTTTATATGCTTGCTCTGGCTTTTTCCCTTTTCCACTTTTCTTCCACATAAGAAAAGGGTTTGCTGACTTTCCACTTTCAACCAATCAAATTAACTTTATAAAACTACACACAATTAAAGTGTGTCCTTTGTTTTATAGTGACAAAAGTGAAGCTCTTATCATCAAAGTTTCAGCTCTTGCACACGCTCCTTTTTCCTTTATAAAGTTGATGCTTTATTTTTAAAGAAAACAAAATGTCTTTTCCATGTAGAGGATGAAGTTGCTGTGGTCCAATTTAATGGGATATACAGTTTTACTGCAGGGTCCTGGCTGCACTGTGCTGTGACAACAGGGGACCTTTTATGAACGTTGGAAGTTTGTTTCATCCTTTTATTTTGAAATGTTCCTGTTTTCCCTGTGGTGAAAAGCAACATGGGTCTAACACATAAACTTTTCCCACTGTTGTCTTGGGTTGAAACATCATTTCAATGACAAAACCACTCAGTGTGCTAACAGCCAGAATGTGTTAGCTCATCACTACCCAGAGTGTCCATCAGGTGTGCAGAATAAAGCTGCTGAAGTCACTCTTCCACAAAGTCTGCTGATCGCTTGAATAGACTGTGGCATGTGTTAGTATGTTGTTATTTTATATATATATATTGGAGGAGCAGGCATATCTTCTCCCTGCTTCAGGTGAATCAAGGCATGAACATTGGAAAAGTAATTTGTTCTCAGAGTGACACCAAAGTGGTTACACTCTTTTGTATCATGGGAGAACCAGTGGTGCCTTTGACCAAACGCATGTCGGGGCCATGTGTTTACAGTTTTTCCCAGTCCCTTTAGTACATTTCTCAGATCAGACTTAAAATTCTCAAAAGTATTCATCATTGTAGCAGTTTCTTCTTTGAACAAATTATAAATGCTTTCGGACGTATGTATCAGTTACTTTCATACAATTCTCTTCTGTTTTCTGCTCTGTTGCTGCTATAAAATTATCATTTGTTTCTGTCCTGTCAGTCAAAATGAAACCAAACTTGTGAAGCTGAATAGTCATTCCCTATAAAACTAATAGTCCTCATTTCATCGCTTCGTCACACACATAATTGTTGAACTAGTTCTCAAATAAAAAATCTGTCAAGCTAATCTCATACATCCCATTATAATTATATTCCTGAAAATCTCTCCTAAATTGTACAATTGCTCTCAGGTGGATTTCAGCTTTCGCTCTTGACGTGAAGGAAATACTTTCCTCGCCGCTTTGGAAGGGAAGACATCTGCTGTGATGTAGATGAAAATTGGGCGACACGGGGGCTGAGTGGATAGCACTCTCGCTTCTCAGCGAGAAGGTCCTGGGCTCAAATCCCGGTCAGAACAGTGTCTTTCTGAGTGGAGTTTGCATGTTCTCCCCGTGTCTGCGTAGGTTTCCTCCGGGTGCTCCACAATAGGTCTGGCATGCGCCTCCTGTTCGGCGACCCCGCTCTCGGTGAAGTGAGAGACTAATGCCCAAAAATAACAATTGTAAACCGCTTTGTGACTCTGGTCTGTGAAAGGCGGTATTTAAATAAAGATTACTTACTTACTTAAATATGTGGCCAGAAAAAGCGTATGCAGTAAATATGTGAATTACATACATACATACATACAGTACATACTGTATATCAATGGATAGATAGATAGAGAGAGCGATCAATAGATAGAGCGAAAGATAGATAAACAGACATGAGAAATACTTGACAGTTTCACTATCAATGAATTTAAATTTTATTTACAACTGATCAACTCGAACTAAGGGTAG